CGCTTTGATGAGGCAATGTACTACGGGAAATTATACATTAGGCAGCAATACATACATATTGGATAATTTCATGCCTTCGCATGGGTGTCTAGCTAGCATGCATATTACTGCTATATGCATGCTGGGCGAGTCAAAAAAAAAAAAGCGGAACCCAAACCCCAAAAATTATATTTCATATTCAAAAAAAAAAAATGTAGCACCAAACATGATAATGACTGGAAAGCCAATTTCATAAGCTACTTTTAGATGAAAAAAAAATACTGAAATTGCTCAATCCGTTCAAAGAATATCACCATTTAAACACAATGACCCTAAAACCTCTTTCGTCCAAAAATGCGGTTTCAAGAATCGACGTCACAATTGTCTTTAAATATCACCAGCGATAAAACCTCAGTTTAAAAGTTAAACATTAAAGTCCTTTTGAAGGCCTGTCCTTTTTTTCAAAACAGGTTGATTTTATAAATCATATTGTTAGCCCAACCTGGGTTGTTAATAAAAATATTGTGTACTACAGTTGGTGACAGTTGTTGAAACAAGTATTCTGTGTCAGTTTCTTTGTTGTTCCAAACAGTCAGAATACACAATAACTTTTTTTTTGGACGAAACAGGTGTTAGGGTCATTGCGTTTAAATGGTGATATTCTTTGAACGGATTGAGCAATTTCAGTATTTTTTTTCATCTAAAGGTAGCTTTATTATGTTTGGTGCTACATGTTTTGTTTTAAATATATATGAAATATATTTTTGGGGGTTTGGGTTCCGCTTTTTTTTGACTCGCCCAGTATATCAAAACCTCAATGTCATTCGTATAGGCTGTGGGTTCATTCCTGGGCCGCATTTGGGCAGGGACTGGGTTCATTCCTGGGCCGCATTTGGGCAGGGACTGAAAACCCAATCCATATATTGCCCAGGCGGGAATCGAACCCGGGTCACAGCGGTGGAAGGCGAGGATAGTACCGCTACGCCAACCCAACTCCCATGTACTGTATGTAACAAACTGGTGCACAGATATTTTCACGACGGTAGGCATTATAAAGTACGGTTATATCAATGACATGGATTGTACAGTTAGAATGTTAATAGAGGAGAGGATTTTACTACGATATCCTCACAATAAGCTCAAATAAATAATCTGACAAACTCATGATCCAGTGTCGTTCAGATTAAATTTAGCTCTTAGTAAAGTCTTAATGAAATCGTGAATCATGCACTTTGCATTAGTAATTACACACTTACATGACTCATAGGCGGTAACATCCATTTAATTAATGAATTAATTAGACGCAATTCTAGGAAACAATTTACATTTTCTTGAGACAAACAAAAACAAAGACATTAAAAGGTATTTCTTTTGAGAAATGATACTTTTATAAAGTATCTATCTCCAAATACATTTATTATACCAAACCCAACCAAAGTACAGGCAATGTATCAAAGTGCACTTCACATAAATAACCAAATACCACTATTTACAAATCAATCTATGATACACTTTTAAAATATAAAACAAATCCTTCAAATACTTCACACTAAATTTTGGATGTCGTCTTTGATATTTGATTAAAAAAAACGTGGATAGTACCTCTTGCATGGGTTAAAATTCAAATAGCAAATTTTGATGTAATTTACATTCGAATTTGGAATGAATAGTGGACGGACTGATACTTTCATAGATTAAATATATGTCAAGATATATCAAAATACTAATGACGCTCAATGACAAACTATCAATGAAAAGTAGTAGTAGCAGTAGTAGTAGTAGTAGTAGTAGTAGTAGTAGTAGTAGTAGTAGTAGAACATGAAGTAGTACAGGGTGTAGCAAAAAGAAGGAACCCACTTTTGGCAGGAATTTTAACCTACTTAACTTATTCGAACTGTATTTTTTTTTTAAATGTAGTGAAGTATAGCTCTTCAACCAAACGTGGTGAAAAAAAATCTTTAAAAAATCGCAAGAATAGCGTTATTATGCTAACGTGAATAGAAGTCACCAAAATCACTATTGTCCACATTAAGTCTGGTGTACAATGTAGTGTTTTTCGTCTTCAAATCAGGCTCCGGAGCTCAGTCAAGCAGATGGAATAAAGCCGTCCGTGGACAAAAAGGTTTAGCGAATGACATTTTTAAATTACCATATCTCAGTGACAAAATATGCATTTGCAATCATTTTGTCATCACTTATGCTTTAAGATCAATATTTTAATACCATTCAATTAAATTTTTGAAATATGCTCAACAAGTACCGGTAGGTCAAAATTGCTGACAAAAGTGGGTTTCCTTTTTTATTCACCACGTTGTTGTTGTGGTTTGTTTGTTGTTGTTTGTTGCTGTTTGTTGTTGTTTGTTGCTGTTTGTTGTTGGTTGTTGCTGTTTGTTGTTGGTTGTTGTTGTTATTGTTGCTGTTGTTGCAGTGATGATTTAAACCCAACAGCTGTGGTAATTTCTTGGCAACATGTATACATGTGCAATTACACCCATGTTTTTGAAAATGTGCAATTTTCATGATACGGATGGTGAACAAGCAATATCTTCAGCTATAAAACCATTTGAGAAAAAAAGTAATACTAAAATGTTGGTAGATTGTGGTAAAAATCTATAGGTATAGGGATAAATTACTGGGGAGACATTACTGACCAGTGCCCCCGCCCAAAAAGTATTGGAGGATAGTCCCCCCCCCCCCCACTGAAATTTATGTTGGTATCTACATGTATGTGGGAATGTGCACCACTATAAGATTAATTTTTTTCCGGCTACATAGCACCAGAGCACAGTTCAAAGAAAAAGACTGATGATTCAGGCACAAACTTCACGTTATAATGCATTTGGCCAATTTTATTAACCCTAACTCCCTAGACCTTTTTGCTAGGATGTAGCCTCAATCCTGCAAAATCCTCCAACTGGCCTCATGGAAAAATAGCATATTGCCTCAATCCTGCCAATTCCTCCATTATTTCTTGAATATGGTCAGTGGAGGGGTGACCACTGCCTGAATCCTGCAAAATCCTGCGGCAGTGACTGTCAATATGTTGAGGCTTGGCCAGTGACATCCTGGAGCAGTACGGAGGATTTCAAGCATAATCCAGGCCTATATTCATGCATGACTGAGCAAAAACAAAAGGTCCGGCCCAAGACCTTGACAAAGTGCATCATACAAAATCAGTAACGCACTTTTGAAATGTAACCTCAATCCTCCAAATTCCTCCACTTTGGCGTTATCCTCAGCACTTGCTCACAATAATGCAATGCACAACAATTCAGCGCAGAATTGAATAAAACTGGCCTAAAGAACCACTATCTTATTTCTTATTTACGAAGAAAACTTATTTTTGAAGAATACATTTCTGTTATGGTTTAACTGTTTGCTTGGCAGCACCACAACACTGACCAATGTTTTTCTAGAAGTAACAAAACACACCGCACGTATAAACTACAGTTCAGAACCAATACATACAAAATATTTCAGGTAATTTGTGACACAGTTAAATATTTATATAATTATAAATTAAATCATTTGAACTCAGTACAAAGTCAAACATTTTCAAATATGAGGAAGTATTATAGCCCTATAATTAATATTTTAACTGGCACTCAATCGTAGCTGGAAAGCATTTTGATAATTCAACAGAGTCTTACAAGTGAAAAAGACAGTTGTCTTCGAAATACTTCAATCGCACAGGACACACGAGTAATGTCAAGACTTGCCGTTCACAAGTTGCCAAATGTAAAAATTCGCTTGAGAAAAACAGTTGAGTCTTGTCCGAGTCATAATGTGAACAGGATGTTCCCATCGTGTAAAGACTATTTATAGAGACTGACACATACCAGTTTTCTTAACCAGTTTGCGCCGGGATTATTTCGCCTGGACCCAGGCGTGGGATTGTTTTTCACGAACCTCAAGCCAAATGGGTTCAGACTGTCATCTGTGATTGGCACACCCTGATATTTGCAGCCTCGCTCGCTGCGAGCGGGTCGCTGACAGATATTTCCGGCCTGGCTCGTTACGTGTTTATCCGTTATCCGTTCCGAATATCGCAAAACCTGTGCCTGTATACACGTCATCCAACATGAACAGCTTAACCAATTGACGACGAGATTATTTTTGGCCGAAAACACAACTTTTGATAAAGACAATCAGCCAAAAATATAAAAATGAAAGTCCAACACCACAAATACTGACTCTTGAGAGTCATTTGTACAATATTTGTACGGTACTTCTCACCGTAACTTCATATTTTGCAACACCCAAGCCCTGCCACGGAGCGATATTTGCTACAGCGACAGGCCATGAACAGCGGCCAAGTTCAACACACGGTGTGTACACAAACAAATGGGAACCACTAATGTGTATACACGTCCACTGCCAGAGATTCAGGGAAAGCTTGATAATTTAACCCGTCACCTGCCTCAGCGAATGTACATTGCGAGATCGTGTTTACACATATCCTCCAGCTTTAACTGGTTAAAAGTGCTTTTGAATATCACACCAAATCTGAATACTTTATCACACAAAGAGTTGAATACATATATTTACAAGTGGATAGAAGCATAATTTAAAAAACAATCGCTGAAACTGGCAACAAAATTGGACAGTATACAAATAATGCATGTTTATGAGTGCAATGGTAAGAATAATTTCATAAGGTGACAGGTGGAATGTTCCGTCCGTCACCAAAAAAGATTTTTTTCAAACTTTCACTCCGGAGGTAAAACACTGAGTATACAGTGTTTATACATTGGTGAAGGGCAAAAAACCTAATTTGATTTACATCACCCCGACGCAAAATTCCATCTTTTGAATAGTTAATGCAGTACCCGCTGCTATGTACATCAGATTCGAACCAGCCAACCGATCCTGTTAGCTCGGTGGTCGAGTGGTAAGACATCTGCACTACAAAGCAGGAGGTCGTGGGTTCGAGTCCCACCCGAGTGATTTTTTCCAACTTTCACTCAGGAGGTAACACACTGAGTGTACAGTGTTTATACGTCGGTGAAGGACAAAACCTAATTTGAATTACATCACCCCGACGCAAAATTCCATCTTATGAATAGAAATTATTTTTCCACTGCATGAATGATTCATGAAATATTCATTGTTTGTTTTATACAACACCTGAATAAAATTCTCGTCATCTGATTGGTCAGAATCACCAGTCATGTGACCATGGAATCGAACTTCTATTTTTGCAGTGTGGCCGGGCCCCGGATGGGATGAATAATTCATTGACATGTGATCAACGACCCACCAATTAGATGACTGGGATTTATTCAGGCATTGAATAAGACTTGATATTTGATTCACATACCAAACGCTGCATTACATCAGTTCCAAGGATTCGCAGAGGAGGCACCGTTACTTGGATTAAGTTTATCAATGGAATCTGTATAAGTAAAAAATAAAACAAAATTTAACAATAACCAAAATCATATCTTCTTCGACATTGTTTTGACTTCCAATGCAGTAGCATAGCGAGAAATTGTCAGCTACATTTCGTGAAAGTTTCCGACCTCAGAAGAAATTAGAAGGGTAGAAGACTGGAGACAATCTGACACTAGATGGCGCTCTTCATGGTAGAAATTTGCACACTTTTTTTTTTAAAGCTTGTTTCACAATTTACTGTTTACTTAATATTTCAATTCTTATCTTAAGTAGCTGCTTAGCCACAATCTATTTAAGTGCTTTTCTTTTCCCTTTTTTTCACCTTTTTCCATCCTTTTATTCAAAATTCTCCAATTCTTTTTTTATTATTTGGGGCAATTATTCCAAAACTAACTTACCTGCGACTAAAGACGCTTGACTGGCTCCGGATCTACGAACAGACAGCTCTGCAGCACTGTGCAACAGAAATTTAAACATTATTGTCACAATATACCTGAAGTCCAAATATTTTTTTCCGGCAATATTATTTCAATATTTTACTTTTTCAGTTTTTTAAGCACAGCTTGTAATATATTGTTTGTTTTAAAAAGAGATAAATCTGATGACCGAAATCTGCCCATGGTGCTTTGCATTTCCCACGATGCTTTGCACTTCCCCCAAAGCTTTGCATTTCCTAAATGCATTTCTTGAGAAACTTTGCATTTCCAATAATACTTTGTATTTCCCATAATGCTTTGCATTTCCCATAATGCTTTGCATTTCCCATAATGCTTTGCATTTCCCATAATGCTTAGTATTTCCCGAGATGCTTTGCATTTCCCACGATGCTTTGCATTTCCCACGATGCTTTGCATTTCCCGCGATGATGTGCATTTCCCACAATGCTTTGCATTCCCCAAGTTGCTTGCATTTCTGCAAATGCTTTGCATTTTACAATGCTTTGAATTTCCCAAGATGCTTTGCATTTCCCAGGATGCTTTGCATTTCCCACAATGCTTTGCCTTTCCCATAATGCTTTGCATTTCCCACAATACTTTGCATTTCCCATGAACCTTTTTTCCCCTTGCTATTTTGTAGAAGTGATTAACCATCCTTAGATAGGAAGGACGGTATGAATGAAGCCGGGCAAGGAACCAGACTATTCCAGTCAACCTACCTGAGTTCCCTGACTTCTCTCCTTGATTTCCTTACAGGCGTCACGCCCGGTCTAGTCTCCAGACTTCTGTCAAAGTCGTCATTTCCTGAGACGAAAAAAACAAATGGACGTATAATTGTTGTATAGGTTTGAAAGACAACCAACAGATATAACAAATATTGACTTATTTAACTTGAGGTATAATAAAAACTAGCCTTAAATTGTTTCAACTATACCACTTGAAGCAGTCAATATTTGTAACTATATGGATGTTCTTGTAACATAGTGACCAACCTGTCCCATTGGGGCCACTAGAGGGCGCCCCATCAGTCAGCACCTGACGTAATTTCTTTTTGAGTTCCCTGCTGGTTTTCTTGTAGTAGTAAAGATCCTTCTCTAGATCAGCAATCTGCTTGTCATGGGCACTGTGTAGACCAAGAAAATGCAAATTGCAAGTCAATCGCAAGTCCATCACAAGTCAATCACAAATCAATCACAAGTCAATCGCAAGTCAATTACAAGTCCATCATAAGTCCATCACAAGTCAATCGCAAGTCAATCACATGTCAATCCAAAGTCAATCACAAGTCCATCACAAGTCAATCACAAGTCCATCACAAGTCAATCACAAGTCAATCACAAGTCAGTCACAAATCAATCACAAGTCAATCGCAAGTCAATTACAAGTCCATCATAAGTCCATCACAAGTCAATCGCAAGTCAATCACATGTCAATCCCAAGTCAATCACAAGTCCATCACAAGTCAATCACAAGTCCATCACAAGTCAATCACAAGTCAATCACAAGTCAGTCACAAATCAATCACAAGTCAAACACAGTCAATCACAAGTTTGTCAATGTCTTTGTTCAAGGGGCGCTAGTCAGAAGCCATATACCCGCATATGCCATGTAGCCAGGGATCATGCCCAAAGTCATGATGCTAGCAACATTAGCAATGCTGCAAACCTGAGAAATAGCAAACGGGGATCACTCAAAGAGGATACAGCTTTTTGGTTAAAAATGTTCAAATAAACCACAAAGCAAAACTGACCAAGACAGAAACAAATAGGGCTGGATAGCTCAGTTGGTAGAGCACCGGAACGGCAATCCGGAGGTCACAGGTTCAAACCCCGCTCCAGTCAATTCCTTTGTTCAACTTTGAAAATTATAATAATCTACCCAGTCAGTTTCTCTTTATACTTTATTTAAAGGGGAAAAAAGCAATAAATTTACACAGCCATAATTTCAGCTCAGCTGTCGCACTGTGTTATTGGGTTTTGTTAGATAAACTGGTGATGACATAATTACCGGCTTAGCTGTGAATTATCACATTCCCTAGACGCTAAGTGGCAAATGATGATGGGCGCAGGTGTGTACATGGTTTATGGTAATTATTCTGTCACATTGTGTTCATGTTATAACAGACCATAAGCTATGAGGATCAGATGACCATACAATTCTAATTACAACCATACACGAACCTCTTGGGCATAAACTAGCCAAATTCTTAATTTTGTTATCAAATACAGTAAAAAAAAAATGGATTGATCATCCCTTAACCCTCCGGCGCAGAATCTAGCCCTTTTGGGGACCCAATTTGGTTAATTACCTTAATTAAAAAAAAAATTTCAAACCAATTCTTATGATCTTCCATCTAATCCTAGCAAGAGACACCCTCTACGGATATATGCAGTCACCTTTAGTGTGTGACCCCGGGTCAGGCATATCTGAGCATGACAACCTGGGCTAAGGACCGATGCAATTTCTGCCCACCCGGGGACCCATCATATACACGTGCACAAACAAGGTCACTTGCGAGTAGACAGTGCACGGCTTGACCACAGACTATGTATACAAATACACCTCCTTAGTCTACAGACATAGCAAGATTGTGTTCATGTGGATACAGTGTGTGTAGCCTCAAACCGGGGCGCTAAATATTTGGGTCCCCGGGGGACCCCTTACTGTAAGTGTGTTACTAAATGGGCTTTCTGCGTCGGAGGGTTAAAGGTAATATACAACATTTGCAAAGATAAAAAAACATAACTACCAAATTATTATGAAATACCTTACTTTGATTATAAGTGAATAATATATCCCGCGGCTGCATGAGGAGTCGTCATGAAACTTTAGCAACTGATGGTTTTCCCTTTTATTCCTTGGGGAAATAATAGCCATCTATCGCTCTTCAACATTCAAACACGATGTAACTATGGGTCGTTTGATGTTCGGGAATTGAAAGTGGCCCAAATAGCATTTAATACAACGGGTAGATTTTTGTGTGAATCTGTTGACTCTTCTCAACAACGATGTTCGGTACGTTTTGTACATTAAAACCGGGAGCCAAGGATGATGTTCAGTATAGCCGAATGTTCGGTACAGCGGTGTTCGGTATAGCAGCGTTCCACTGTACATGGGTTCGAATTCTGACCTTGGGAACATGGAGCTTGTGCTCTTCAGCAAGGCACTTTACCATTATTACTTCGTCCTTCGGATGGGACGTAAAGCCGTAGGTCCCGTGTGTTGTGTCATGCACGTTAGAGAACCCAGTAACACTTACGCTAAAACAAGGGGTTTGCTTTTGTGTTTCTAGCAGTGGCTGCAATATGTGCCGCAGCACCTTGTAAACCCTTATAAGGTGCTACATAATGGGTCTCTCATATTTCTCATTAAAGGGAATATACATCATTTGCTTTTGCTGTAATTTTCAGAAATGGATGTAATTGGGGGGTTGGAAATATATAGCAAATATAGTTACACTGACTTTTTTGAGGTTTTGGGTTCGAAAATGCTATAAAAACCAAGAAAAACAATCATTTTCCTGTAGTCTGGTTCCCTGGCTCCATTTAAGAAGAAACAGAGCAGTTTACATACATTGGGGAATTGTAAGGACAGGGAACCAGTCTAGCTGGTTTGTACCTGTTCATAGGTGTAATCGATTGCAAACAAGTGCGATGGTCAACTGGGGCCAGTTTTTGAAAAAAAAAGCCATTTTTTTCCCAACGCTGGTCGGCCGATCAGCGTTGGAAATCGATACAAAAATACCACTTTTCTTGAAAATGACAGTATACCGGGTGCCATGATTTTACAGGATGCTTTACACTGTCATTCACTAACAGTCCAGCAAGGTATTTCAAAGTGATTTGGTAGTTTTATTTTTTGATGTTTGCAAATGTTGTATTTTCCCTTCAATTACCTGTCTTTTATACAAGACATAATTTCCAGCGCCTTGAGTACCTAATTGTTAGTAGATACGTGTGCTATATAAGACTCCGGTAGTATTATAAATAGATTACCTTATATTACCACCATCGCCGTCGGCCTGCTGCCTGATCAACATCTGAACTCGCTGCTCGTGTTGTTTCTGCTGAGACATCAGTTTGCGATCCAGTTCCAACCTGGATCGCTGCAGCGTGTTCTCTAGCTCCCGTAACAGCCGCGATTGCTCGTCGACTTTCATCTAAAAGGTCGAAAGGCACATATTGTGACCCATTAGCACTTGTATTAGGTTGGGGTAATTTTTATTCCTAAATACCTGAGACAGTTTAGCCATTACTATTGGTCAAGAGCCCGTCATGTGGGTAGTATACAAATATTGAGTGGCTCAGCGTGGAATGGGAGGCATATTATCGCAAGGTAAAATCTGGACTTTTCCATTTCACGAGGCAAAGCCGAGTGAACTGGAAAAGTCCAGATTTTACCGAGCGATAATATTCCTCCCATTTCACAATTTAAAGCCACTCAATATTTGTTTTATATAACTGACATATAGATCCTTGTCATTTGATACATTTGAACTCTTTTTCAATACGAAACTGGAGGAAAATCTATTTCTCTAGTCCAAACCACCCCTTCACGAAAATGTTTGAACCCAACGCTGTAGCGCTGGCTCTTTGGAACAATACGCGCTACGCGCAACACTGAACGTGCACACCAGCATGCATTTGCACACAAATACCGCGTCATGATCTTAACTGTTGAATAGTATTTCCCATTCCCCATGGGCGGATAGTACTTTTTGAGCCGCGGCGTGAATGGGAGCAATAACGAATGTCATGTGATGTGAGTTCCACCAATCAAATGACTAGGATCTGTATGTCAGTTATATAATTTTAAACAATTGATAAAACACCGGCTGGCTGGTTTTAACTCTTTTCCAGTATCACATGAAATTTTGACTCCTATGAAATCTAGTGCCTTTTACCCTTTTATTGGTTGAACGTTCACAATCTTCACTAAGGCATGTGCAATACTACCAGTGAATCTGTATTTCATAGTCCTAAATTCACACTACACCGGCACAGCTGCGCTCTGCGCCACATTGCGCAGTATAAAGTGCCACACATGTCAATCTCCATATAAGGAGATTTTCAGCACTACTCTCAAGAGGCACATACCATAAAAATAGCTACAGGGGTGTTTAAAAAACTTTAAGTAAAATTGTTAAACAAAATCGTTGGAAATATAATCTTTTACTTGTTTTGATTTTTGACCTAAAGGTATTTATGAATGGGAATAAAATAAAATATGTACTTGGCCGGTAGTAAACAAGTATGTTTAAAACCAGCCAAGCACATATTTATTCCTTTATTAAATATACCACACGTGTAACAAAGTCCTGCTGGCAATCATGTAGCAATGTTTCCCATTATGCCTTGCTTTGAATTCCTACCTCCATCTCGGTAATGGTAAGATCCTTCTTCTTGTCCGTCTCACGGAGGTCGACGACCTTTTCAAAGTATTTTATGAGGAGACTAGTAGCATCTGCTGCAGATAGTGACTGCAACCTTCCTGATAATGCCTCATCAATCTGTGAGCACAAACAGGGGAATATACAGATATTGACTGGTTATGAGTGGTATAGTAAAACTACTGCCTTCTGAGGCAACCTTCCTGATAATGCCTCATCAATCTGTGAGCACAAACAGGGGAATATATAGTTAGTATAGTAAAACTACAGCCTCCTGAGGCAAACTTCCTGATAATGCCTCATTAATCTATAAGCCCAAACAAGGGAATATTCAGATATTGACTGGCTATGAGTGGTATAGTAAAACTATAGCCTCCTGAGGCAACCTTCCTGATAATGCCCCATCAATCTATGAGCACAAACAGATATTTACTGCCTTGAGTGGTATAGTAACAACCTTCCTGATAATGCCTCATCAATCTATGAGCACAAACAAGGGAATATACAGATATTGACTGCCTTGAATGGTATAGTAAAACTAAAGCCTCCTCAGGCAACCCTCCTGACAATGCCTCATCAATCTATTTGCACAGTTAACACACAAATATTGACTGCTTTGAGTGGTATAGTAAAACTATACCCCTATTCCAACTATACCACCCCTCCTGACTTACTGTTGTGAGGCCGGCTTTGCGCAGTTCTTGTTGTCGGCTTGCAATGACTTCATTTTTGAAATCGATGGCCGCATCTAATGCTTCGATGCCTTCATCCATCTCTATCAACCTACACAACCAAAATGAAACAACCACAATTTAGAAAACTGACATCATTTGTTTTTTGATAAAATGTCTTTAAAGGTAGGGTAGATCATTCGTTATTTGTGCCTTTTTTGGCATTTGAAGCACCAAAAGTGCTTAAGATCTAAAGATGGGTGCTTAACAACTAACCACATGAATTTAAGCTCAGTAAATGCTGTATATTCCAAGACAACAATATTCTTGGATCTCGGTTTCAATTCAAAATGTGCCGATCATGTTTTGAATTGCGTCCGAAATCAGCGTCTGGGACACATTCTCATTTAGCCGATTGAAGCTATGCGATGTAACGCACTGAACTGAAGAATAATAGCAACTGCAAGGGCAGTTGCGTTGTTGGGTCAACTCTTCACTGACCCATTCAAGGATTCGCTACATTACAAACCAACTGCTAACCCATTTTTTTTTTAAAAATGTGTCACATGACACATCTTTGGAAATGGCATTCTTTTACTGTTTCTTCAAAATGACAGCATGCCAGAAGGAATAACTTCACAGAGAGTAATACCGTTAATATCTTTAAACCAAGTAAGCTTTTCAACAATAATTTCTTCAGTTACGTTTTGGATAGCTGCAAATGATCTACTCTAATCATAATACGTAAAAATCTCTCTAAAACGGTGCGCAATAAACACGTAAATTACATTTGCGACCATTTTCAAGAGGTCCAGTGGAAGGAACACACCGCGTGCATGTACTGGTTCGCGCACACTGCGCGAAGTACACGGGATTACTTTAAACCGAATATGAACAACCCTTGGCATCTTCACGTGGGTCAGGCTTACGAGCAAACGTTCCTTCCAGTGGTCCCCCAACTCTCTCGTTGTAACCGTTGAGGGGTACACGTGCAAAGAGTCTATTCCTGAACTGAGTACATAGATTATTAAATTTTGCAAATATTTTATACCTTCTTTCTTCTGTTGGGGATAGAATAGCTCCCTGTCCTAGCTTGGAGTCCAGAATTTCTCGTTGCTTAACAAGACGATCTCTGCAAACAGTTGAAACAAAAAATACTCTTTAACAATGGAGCACTGTTGTCTAATGGTAACAGTGTTTGATTCATGTGTGACTGTGCGTGGGTTTGAACTGTGTTTGTGTTCTTGGGCAAGACACTTTACTTCAATTGTCTCTCTCCACCCAGAAGAAGAAATGGGTACCTTAGAAGAAGGATGCCCTGTAACTCTCAACATTAAAGTACGGTTCTGAGTCAAAGCTGAAGTCAAGGTTTCAGAAATGGCATGAGAGGAATTGGTCTGGCACCTATCTCATTTGTGTGTCTTAATATGTGTTTGGATATCCCTACTGACTACCCTGTATATCTCAACATTAAAATATGTTACTGGGCGGAAGCTCATGCCGAGGTTTCAGAAATGGCATAAGTGGTACTGGTCTAGTACCTATCTCATTTGAGTGTCTTGATATGTGCTTTGATATCACAACTGAGTCTGACTGCCCTGTAAGTCTAAACATTAAAGTATGGTTCTGGGCCAAAGCTGAGGCCAAGGTTTCAGAAAAGGCACGAGAGTAATTGGTCTGGTACCTATCTCGTTTGAGTGTCTTGATATGTGCTGTGATATCACCACTAACTGCCTCCACGCTGACCCTCAAATCTTCATGCTTTGCTGCTAGCTGTTTATCGACGCTCTCAATTCTAGACGACAACCCTTTCAAATCCTGCAGAAAGAAATAACAGACTTGGTCATAACACAAAAAATGTAACCATCATACCTCTGGCAATAAATATTCCATGAAATATTCTGGTCAATATAACCGCCTGGAAGTAATATACAAATGTTGACCGCTTTTGACATGGTATAGTACACTATACCACTTTGCCAACTATAGAGTCAAAAACTGCCTTTGGCGATAACTATTTCAATGTAAATGGGCCTTTTTCACGAGTTGGCCATATTGAATTGAAAGTCAGGTAAAATCTTAAATTTTGGAACTTGCGAAGAAAATGAAAGCAACTTAATTTATAATAAATTTTAGTCTGCTTCAATGAATTATTTAAAAATTTGTAATTAAATATTGCCTAATGTTTAAAACCCCAATTAAAAAAAAAATGACAGTAAAATAAGGCTGCATTGTGCCTGCATAAATTCGCCATCCCATTCAACAGTTAACAATTAATGAAATACATTCAGGGAACTCAGCAAATATGACCAACTCGTGAATCAGGCCCATTCTGGTCACTATAACCTCCTGGAAGTAATATACAAATATTAACCGCTTTTGGAGTGGTATAGTAAACTATACCATTACATCTAATGTAGTGCCCAACTATGCCTTTGGCAGTAAATGTTTCAGTTTATATTGAGGTCAAAATACAATCACCTACAGGTCATATACAAAATATTGACCGCTTCCTGAGTGGTATAGTAAACTATACCATTATACCAACTGTAGCGCCCTCAAAGAGCTGTTGGCAATAAATATTTCAGTTTATATTCTGGTCAATATAACAGCATAAAAGTAATATATGAATATTGACCGCTTTAGAAGTGTTATAGTAAACTATAGTATGATAAACTATACCACTATACCAACTACAGTGCTTGAAACTGCCCGAGTACTCAATGGTTTTCTTGATTTTTCAGTGAATAAATTCAACATTATAGAATGTTATTTAGTTCCTTAATTCTCATTATCATCCTGTGATGTTTGAGTGAATATTGACCGAACTTGAAACTTGAAAATTAAAAAAACAAATATGTTTCTCTTTCAAACAATTGCGCCAAAAGGCTTGAACGCCATTAAAAAAGTTACATGAAAATACAAAAAAGGCAAAACTGTAGAAATATAAATTTACATACATTATTAATTTTCAAGTTTTTGAGAAATCTCAACTCAAGATACCTTTGTCAATGTCTGGCTGGAACGTAATCTCCTTATCTCCAGTTCTCCTTTCTCCCTAAGAAGATGTTCTTTTTTGGCGACAATTTCCTCTCGTTTCGCAAGCTCCTAAATACGAACAAACAAAAGTACTTTTCAAACTACTTGACAAATTCTCGTGATTTTTGTATTTGTGTGAAGTATTGTTTTTGGTCGGTACGCCTTAATGCTGGATCATCCAATACACCATCCTGAAAGCGATATACTAGTTATTGATTTTTCCCCGTGCCTTTCTAAACAAAACTCTTACTTCTTCTAACTCCTTGACTTTGCGTTTGCGTTCCAGAACCTTGTCCACTTCATGATCCATCCAGCGTTTCTGCTCATCTAATTTAGCGTGATCGTCGCCATGAGCACTACCCTGACGTAGCTTACGCTGGGCAACTACAACCTAGAAGACAGAAATGAACATTGACGAGTAAATAGTGAGTCACAGAATGCGCGAGTTACAATACTCAGTGAGTACAGACTGAGTAATGTGACCCATGAGTAACTCATCACATTGACGAATACAAAGTGAGTCACACAAGAGTTGAGTTACAATACTCAGTGAAACAGACCAAGTAATGCGAGTTTACAATACTTACATAAAAACGTCGGTGAAGGGCAAAAACCTAATTTGATTAATGTGAGTTTCTTATGACTAATTCATAACATTGACAGGTACAATGTGAGTCACACAAGGAGTGAGTTACAACACTCATTGAGTACAGACTGAGTGACAGGACTCATGAGTAACTCATCACATTGCCAAGTACAAAGTTAGTCACACAAGAGTTGAGTTGCAGTACTCGGTGAGTACACACTGAGTAATGCGAGTAATACTCATGAGTCACTCATCATATTGACAATTACAAAGTCATTCCACAGTGGGTGAGATACGAAACTCAGTGAGTACAGACTGAGTAACGTGACTCATGAGTAACTTACCTCTTCAGTTTTTCTCTTGAGTATCTTCTGCTGTTGCTCCATTCTAATCTCCAACTCACGGATCCTCTGTTGGTCTTTTTGCATTTCTTTCTGTGTACGAAGAAAAAAAAGATGATTTCAGCTCAAAACATTACATGTCAAATATGCATAACCATAACTTATATTCACAGTTAGAGCACTCTGCTCCAAATAAACTGATGTGTAACTGTCATTTCAAATTGGGAGCGTGGGATATTTGGGTACTATATCCCTCGTGCTGCAAACCAACTGGGCAATAGTATGTTTCTAGTGCCCAGGATATCTATTTCCACCTCTAGTTTCACCGGATGAATTGGAACATATTGCGTTTGGGAGTGTGGGATATTTGGGTACTATAACCCTCGTGCTGCAAACCAACTGGGCAATAGTATGTTTCTAGTGCCTGGGATATCTATTTCCACCGGATGAATTGGAACACAGTGCGTTTGGGAGCGTGGGATATTTGGGTACTATATCCCTATTGCTGCAAACCAACAGGGCAATAGTATGTTTCTAGTGCCCGGGATGTCTATTTTTACCTCTTGTTTCACCTGATGCATTGGAACATAGTGCGTTTGGGATTGTAGGATATTTGGGTACTATTTCCCTCATGATGCCACCCATTGGGCAATAGTATGTTTCTAGTGCGCGGGATACCTCATGAATATGCATGAGGTTCAATAATCGCATATTACTGACCTCTAGTTTGAGTTTCCTGTCTGCTTCATCCTTCAGTCGCTGCTGCAGTAATTCCTGATGTTGCTTCATTCTGCCGACCGCCAGCTCCAAATCCAAAGCTTTCTTATCACTCTGATTCTGAACCTTCAACAATTTCTCCGTATCCTGAAAAAACAAAAAACCCAAGACAATGTTTTAGAAAATAAGACAATAGTGCCATTCACTCCATGCATTAACAGCCGATTGCATTTTTTTGCCAAAGGTTGTATAATATCTTTAACCCCATGCGCACGGGAAGCGTTCGTGGCCGCGGCCGCTAATCCTCATTGGAATGCAGTTGCCAGCTGTGGTATGCTGTGGCACACGGCTAGTGGGTAGTTCCACAGCTGCTGCTTTTGTGCAGTCCCGCTACCACACAAAGGCTGTGCAGTCATGCGGGCCACTTGCTCTATGTGTGGAGGAATGTCCCCATTATAACCCGTGCTTAAGGGGTTAAGAACGGTGAATGCTACTTACGTGTTGTTTACGTTGTAGTTCTTTCATTCTGTTCTTCGCTTTGTCCATTTTTCGGCGGTACTCTTCGCCGAGTTTATCCTTATCCTGTGTCTCGTGTTGTTCTTTGGCTCCTAGGCGATGCAATGCTTCTTGGGCCTCGTGTAGCTCCGTCTTGGCACTCTGGGCCTCCTGCAAACAAATCATGAAACAAATTAACAGTGCAGTCGTGAAATTTCATTGCTTGAGAAGCGTTTCTTTCAGAAGTTCTTGTATAAATGGTGGATCGACCCATGTGAGGCCCCTTGGTCTGTTAGATGTCCAACACATGCATGACAGTAAAGATGTGCATTATGTTTGTGTTCTTAGGCAAGACACTTTACTACAATTGAATCTCTCCATACACTGATCTCCATACTTTATTCAAAATACTTTATTTCAAGCAATGGGGAATTTTTGTATCAATTTCAAAAGATGGTCGGCCAACCAATGTTTTTTTAAATACTGCCCCCGATTTGATTGCAATTGGTTACACGGGTGCAAGCCAGCTAGTCTGGTTCCCTGACCAGACCATTTCCAGAATTTTACTGGGGAGACTGCCAGATGGGACTTGAATGCACCTTCGCCACACACTTCACCAAAAAAATACAGTTCTGTGAAGATTCAGAATAAAATTACATTACTTCCAATTAATCAGAACAGTTTTCTGTTTTGTAAACCTTACCGTTTCAAGCTGCTTGATTCTCTCCGTGTATTTCTTGTTAGTTGTCTCCGCTTCTCGGCCCGTCTTGACCAACTCACGGATTAGTTCCTCCTTCAACCTGGAGAAAAGCAGACACAATGAAGTTGTGATGAACAATACTTGCGGTGATCACGGACCTGTGCGGATTAATGTTGTTCAAACCCGTCCTGAAACCGAAACCGACTCGACCCGAAACCAACTTCGGGTCGGTGGGTTTTTCCATCATTTCATTGGGGTCGGATCATTTTCAGTTTTGCATTTGCTTTTTTTGGGTCGGGTCGGTTCTGTCGAGCCATCTTTTCAATACTGAAAAAAAAATATAATAAACCACAAAAAAAAATCAAAACAGTTGGGAAATTCACGAGGTACAATATTGCCGAGTTACTGTGCCTGGTACGACCAACGTCAACCCACTGCGCAAATGTGCATGTGGTTTGCGGTCTATCACGCACAGTCTATAATGTGTAGGCCCACCAGGAGAACACGCTGTAAAGTCTTAACAATACCAGACGATATGATTCAGTTACTGAGAGACAAAGATTTTCTCGCGGGTAAGTTCAGGCACAAAAAGTGGACACAGTTCCCCAAGCTAGATATTTGAGGTTTTCTGAGTCGATTCGGTTTAATAATAATAATAACGGGTTCTTATATTATAGCGCTTTTAACTAAGATCAAAGCGCCTTTATTATTACCCCTGATCATTGGGCCAATTAAACATTCTAAATACCATCTCAGCTCCCTGGGGAGCATACAGCTCGATGCTGCATGTTAGGCGCAAGGAAGCTAAATCAATCACATAACAATCTCTGCCCTCACAGGTACCCATTTACTCCTGGGTGGAGAGAAGCAAAGACTGACAAAGTACCTTGCCCAAGGGCACACGCACCATGACCCCTGGCTGGAATTGAGTCAGATTTTGCTTGAATTTTTGTCCGAATTTGTGGAGTTCAGATTGATTTCGGTTCGGATTCGGTTTATATCTATACTGTTACGAGTCAGTTTGGCCTGGTCAGCCCGACCTGATGAACAACATTAATCATAATACAGCAAAGGTCACATATCTTCTAGACACTAACAACCAATCGGATTTGAGGATCACTGAGACATTGCCTGTCCTCAGATACCTGTCATATGAGGACAGGTGGTCAGTCTACTGCCATGTCACCTGATATTCAGAGCTAAATCTCTCATCTTTTGTTAAGCTTCTTGAACTCGGAGTTTGAACTCTCTGACTTTGTGCTTATAATCTACCAATCAGATTTCAGGATCACTGAGGATGTTGCCTGTCCTCAGATACCTGTCATATGAGGACAGGTGGCCAGTCTACTGCCATCTCACCTGATATTCAAAGCTAAATCTCTCATCTTCTGTTAAGCTTCTTGAACTCGGAGTTTGAACTCTCTGACTTTGTGCTTATAATCTACCAATCAGATTTCAGGATCACTGAGGACGTTGCCTGTCCTCAGATACCTGTCATATGAGGACAGGTGGCCAGTCTACTGCCATCTCACCTGATATTTAGAGCTAAATCTCTCATCTTCTGTTGAGCTTCTTGCACTCGTAGTTTGGACTCTCTGACTTTGTGCTGGTGGTCCACGGTGCTGGATCGCAGCGCTTGCATCTCGTGGGATGTCACGTGGGGAAGATCCTTCAGATCGGACACGGCTGACGCTTTGGTCATAGTCCCTCCAAACTCTGTAACGAGACGAGGTAAGACTAGTAAAGCTGGTGCACAACATTCTATTCAATCGATTCAGAATGGCTATTCACTGGTAGTCTGTTCATGCATCTGGTCTGCACAATGGGCCAGATTGCGCCCATTCATTAGCGTTATGGTGATCCTATACAACAGCACTGCCCAGCTCACGAGTGACGATCAGTCAGTCAGTCAGTCAGTCAGGTAGGTACAAAGAGGACAATAGGCTAGCCCTCTGGGACCAGCACAAGACAATTGCAGCAATGAACATCATTCCAAAATTTGATTTCATAACTTAAAATTTAGTATAATTTGAACTATCTCTGTGTTAAAGGGATTGTGAATTTCACACTGGAAATATTGTTGTGCAAATTTCCATTCTTCTGAAATGTATGAAAACTTTGAGACATCCCTTTTGGTTACAATTTTTTGTACACATTCAGAATGCTCCATTTTTTCCCCTGACAACTGAGGCCGCTGTTGCTGTGATGTCATTATAAGGCACACACTCTTCACTTTAGAGTTTTTTGTTGAAATTGTAAACCCAGAAGTATTTGCTCTAAGTTTGACTAAATGATATGTACTGAAACAACAACGAATTTTAAAAACATAAAACTTGTCCCTGCAAAAGAAAAATTAGAATTAGGCAACTTTTAGTACCGAGGTAACACTGAAGTTCTACCTTAAATGATGTCCCAGTTTTGCTCATGAATATGGAAATTCGCATTAGCATAAAAACCAAAAAGTTACCAAAACCGCTCGAAATGGCAATGTGAAAATTGAATTATAAAGATGAATGGAACACAATGTGCTTTTTCAATGACTGTCTTAAAAGATTATTGTTTCTTTGGCCGTTTCATTGAGATCATGACTTACTATTGTTGCTGTCATTATTGGACAACCGACTCGCCGATTCACTCTTTTTAGAATCCGACTTCTTCCTGGAGAGGCGAGATTTACTCCAAGTATGGCCCAAGACCCTGCAAAGAAGACGACAAAAGACACATTATTCGATGTTTTGGGCGCTGTTCATAATACAAATACGTAGAATGTATGGGCTCTGTATACTCTAGTACTTTTTGTAGAGTACGCATACTCGAAATGACGGTACTCGTACTCGGGCAGCAAAGTACTCGTACTCGACATGTTGAAATTGTACTCGATCATCAAAGTACTCGTACTCAAATAGCAGTACTCAAAAAAAAAGAAGTATAGCTTGACATACCAAGGCCTTATTTTATTGATACTTTATGCTTGAAATTGTTGATTGGCTTGCGGAGAAATCAAAGTTTCCTGATTTTCCACTGTGTACGTCCGGACAAACACATTCAACAGCTAGCTGTGAGTCGGTCTGTATATCGGTCTGACTGGGCCTGGGCCAATTACGCACAATGAACCAACTGCCGTATGGCCGTATTCGGAAAAAGAAGTACTCGTACTCAAAATACAAGTACTCATACTCGTAAGTACAAGTACTCGTACTCGGAGACCTGTACTTGTACTCAAAACTCGTACTCGATAACCTAAGTACTCGGCATTACTCGGTACGTGGAAAAAAGTACTCGACTACAACACTGCTAAAAAGTCGTCAAAAAGCACCTTCTATTGTTTGGGCATGCTATGAGAAATGAACTAAATTGAACATACCCTGACTTGTCGTCGTTTTCATCATTGCTACTGTCACTCATCTCCCACAACATGACTTCATCTTGCTCTTCAAGACGCTTGAGGATGAGATGGCTTCTGGCTCGGAAGCCTTGGACGATTCGCTCCAAGGAGAACTACAGAGAAGACAACAGAGAATAAGAATTTTCAGCTGGGTTGGGGAAGTGGTCTCGTTGCTTGCAAGTTTCGTACAATGGAATCCCTTCAATGAAAATTCAAGAAATAGAGGGCGCTGTTAAGAAATAGAGGGCGCTGTTCAAGATGGAAGATTGCTCTCATTTTCCCTGTGTTACTTGAGTTTTTAATCCAATTTTATCACCTTTCCTGTGAGCCATCCATCAATTTTTTAACAACTGCTGTCCTTTTGAGGAGTCATAGATCAAAGTAGAATGTATTTTGACAGGAATCTACAAATCCCAGCCCCGATTTTTGAGATTTTTGTGATTGATATTATTATTATTATTAATGGAAATGGCATGCACTGATCATGCTTGTAATGTTATGTAAGGGGACATTGGTGTTTCTGCATGCTACAGGGGGAGTAAAAAAACCGCAGGACCAGTTTTTGAATGAAGTTTTGCCTGTAACACTTTCAAAATCTAGGATAAGAAAGCCCAAGCTTTCTTTTAGTACAAGAATAATTCAAATCACTCATGTACTTTTCAAGTTACAGCACTTCAAGTTACGGCCTTTGAACGCAAACACCGTTAATCCGTTATACAGTTCATTTCCCGGATCACATGTTCTTTCAGCAAAATGAAAACAATTCACACACATAAGAGTTGTTTTCGTTTTCCTGAGAGAACATGAACTTTAAAATGGTGTCTGTGTTCGAAATGCCGTAACTAGAAAAGTACATGAGTGATTTGAATGATTCTTGTACTAAAAGAAAGCTTAATGACTGGGCTTTCATGTCCTAGATTTTGAAAGTGCTACAGGCTAAACTTCATTCAATAATTAGTCCTGCGATTTGGGATGGGTTTTTACTCACCCTGCATTTGGTAAGGTATAAACATTAGGGATATGAGTTGCTACATTATGACATGCAGAATTTATACATTTAAATGAAAACACTTATTTATAGTTACGCCCATTGTTCAATGTTCCGTCCTTCACAAGTCAATCAAAATGTATCTAGTGTCAAATCAAGTCACACGTTAAACTGTGGTAAAAGCATTACTTAGTTATTGTTCATCCATGTAGCTTGCATTATGTCACTTTGTACTCTGGATTGGAATTATACATTGTACATGTACACTCTTCTTTTCTGGAAGTTGTTTTCGCGAACTTCTTCAGACACATTCTTAACCACTTCTCGCCGGAGGCCGTGACAACACGCACTGGCTGTTTTTGTACCCAGGCATGGCTGACGGGTTAAGACGTCAAGATTGCCTCGACTTGCCTCTGGGTGACGTCTTAACACGCTAATCCCTCATGCCTTTTGTACACACACACAAAACTTGTCTGTGTAGTCTGTGGAGGCGGACCGTGTGTTGACCATTGTGTGGGCCGTTGTGCACGGCCTACTTTTGTACAATTACGCTCAGTGCACACCCTGGAGTATTGATACATATATATGAGGTTTCGGCAAGAAATATTGTACAAATACTGTTGAGATTACTCTTGTGAATCAGTACTTGTGGCATTTGGCTGTACATCAGAAGTTGGCTGGGAAATTTTGCCTTCAAAATTTTTGGCAAGGGCAGCAACAACAAGCAAAGCTTTGTCTAAACATTTATTAGGCACAAAAAGCTTCCAGAAAGTGTCAGAGATCGGTAAGAGATTGGTTAAGTTGAATACAAAGTACACGTGTTGTTCCTCAGTTTAAATGACTTTGCCATAAAGGAAAGCTGGGAGATGAGAGATAGGGGATGTGGGTGGGGATAAAGAGGGGTTGGGCAATATGGTTGAGGTTTAAGATGGGGGTGGGGTAGGGATTGGGGTGCATGGGGTTGGAATGGGGTAGGAGTGGGGGTGTGTGGGATAGGGTGGGGTTGGGGTAGGGTACCCTAGGAGAGGGGTTGGGGTATGGATGAAATTGTTTCTGCATTCAATAGAGGCCATTGAACAATAGAGGACAATAGGGTCCCCAATTTGGATTCGTGTATGAAACATATGGGAGGTCTTCCTAAAAAAGTACAGTAGGCCTACAAACAAAAGAGGGACAATAGGGGGTATCAGATTGCAGGCAAATACACACTTGCATGGGTTTGGATGAGGTTGGGTTGGGTTGGGGTGGGTTGGGGTGGTGTTGGGATGGGGTTGGGATGGGATGGGATGGGGTTGGGTTGGGGGGAGGGGGAGAATGCGCTGGGGGACTGGGTTTAAGAGGATGGAAAAACTCCAGCGGGCTGACAAAGAATTTTAACAGGACGGTTCCCGCAAAGCCACTCATAGAGAGCTTGTATGGTTTTACATGCAATTAATTCATTAATATTCCATTCTGTCTTCAAATATAGGATAGTAAACATGGTAAATATGGGAATGATGAACAAATAAATGTAAAAACAAATTAAGCAAATATGCCAACAAGCTTTTTTTTTATCTAAAAAAGGTATTTTCCACTCCACCTTGCCGCACACGATGAATTAAACTTGTGAAGCAGACTCTGATAATGGAGAAAAGGTTTTTTAAATTTGGAATGATAACAATTAGCACACTGTTTAAACGTGAATGCCATGATGTCCATGCAATTTGCCATGACGATGAAGCTGAATTATTCATGCCATGCAGACGTTCTTTAGCAGGCACGAACATACCAAAGTGTTCAGAAATTGATTGTAGACGTGAGCGGTGGAAACGGAGACGCGGCTCGTGATAGAAGGACCGGATGAAAAGACGGAAGTCTGCTGACTAGAAAACTAACGAAGTAGAGGAGAAATTACAGGTAAAGTTAACGAGGACGTACATCAGACATGGAACATGGACACAGACATGGAACATTGGACTAGGACAAAGTTTGATTAAAGCTACAGTCCATCATTTGCAGCAATCCAAAAAGTAACTGACGTAATTATTGTTGAAAAACATACTTGGTTGATAATTAGTAAGAGGACTAAACTCCCTGTGAAATTCTTCTTTCTGGCAAGCTGTCATTTTGAAGAAATCAACTAAAGAAAGCCTTTCCAACGTTGCGTCTAAGACGCATCGTAGAACATTTCTGTTAGCAGTTCGTTTTTTTTATTCGGCGAAGCACGCGGAAGCGTTGACACGATGCACACACGAGGGTGGTTGCTATAATTCGTCGGATCAGTGCGGGACATCGCGTAGCTGCAAATCAGCTCAGTGAGAACGTGTCTCGGACGCTGAATTCAGGCCCAATTCAAAACATTTTTAAGCAACTTTTGATTTGAAATCGAGATCCTAGAATGTTGTTTTTCTCGAAATATACAGCTGAAGCTGAGCTGAAACTTCATCAGGTTAGTTGTTCAGCACCTTTCTTTAGATTTTGAGCACTTTTGTTGCTTCAAACGAACAAAGTGCACAAATTACAAATGATGGACTGTACCTTTAAAAGTAATATACAATATTTGGAAACATTCAAACACAAAACTGCCAAATTGTTATGAAATATTCCACTAGACTGTAAGTGAATATTAGTTTCACGCATCCTGTGAAATCATGGCACCTGGTGTGCTGTCATTTTCAAGAAAAGTGGAATTAATGCATCAATTTCCAACGATGGTCGGCCCACCATTCGTTGGATATCATTTTTTAAAATTGTGCTTTTGCTATTGCTATTTTGACAGTTTCAAGTTTGATTGTTTGCAAATGGTGTCTATTAGCTCCAATTAAGATAGAGAATAAAAAGAAAAGTAACGTTAAAACTAGGAACAAACCTGTAAAATGTAACATACCAAACACTGGAAAAGAAACAAAAAGCGAGCAGAAAGAAGCCTTACAAGTTAAAGATGCTTTCCAAAACATTGATTTTCTCTTAAAGGGAAGATACACCACCAAAAGACGAAATGATCAAATTTTGACGAAATACCTTACTAGGGAATGACTGTTTAAAGCATCCTGTAAAATGGTGGTTCCTGGTGTAATGACATTTTCAAGAAAAACTGTGTTTTTCCAATGCTGGTCGGCCGACCAGCGTTGGAGAAAACTGGCTATTTTTCAAAAACTGCTCCTAATTTTTCTTATTTAGTTATTCTGCATTTTCTTTGCAATTGATTACACACCTGTGAAGGGGTACAAGCCTGCTAGACTGATTCTCTGGCCTAACAATTCCCCAAAGTCTATACGTTGCTTCAGCATCTACAAACCCAAAACGTGAAACATGTCATTTTAAAAATATTTGCTATATCATACTTATCTCCAAATCCATTTATTTCTGAAAATTGCAGCAAAAGCAAATGTTGTGCATTCCCTTTAACAAAATATGACCCTTGAGGGTTTTATTTAGTTATTTTTTTTGTTTTGTTTTTTAAAGGGCTACTTATACTTTTTCAATACAACTGATGAAGATAAATATTCCATTTCTTACCAATGGCGGACTGGTATGCAACTTCCTAGACTGCGGCCTCTCTCCATGGATAGTCTCTCCTCCAGCCGCTGATTTAGCTCTCATCAATCCAGTCAGATGGGCTGGCACTGACATGGGTCTCCTACGGCCTGTCAGAGGCGCTTCAAAGTTGTCACCTGCTGGTGCAGAGTCTATCACCTACAGAATAAGAGTGAAGTCTGTGAACTTTTTGTAGCCCTACAAAGGTGTCTGCTAAACTATAGTATAAGTCTCTGGTGTGCACTTATAAAGGTGATCTTATACAGTGTTTACCTTTCTATGCACATGTCCTATAAAGGTGTCAGCTTCACGCATACGAGTGTATACCAATTTGTGCACCTATCTGTGTAGTTCCTATAAAGGCGTCAACTCTACTATAGTGTACTCATTCTTCTCCACCTGTAGTTCCTAGGTGTCTGCTTTACTGCAGTGCAAACCCATTTGTGCTCCTGAAGTACCTATGAAGGTGTCAGCTACAATACAGTGTATACTTTTTGTGCAACTGTGGTTCCTATAAAGGTGTCTACATTACTACATACCTTTTCCATGCACCTGTAATTCTTATTAAGGTGTCTGCTATACTACAGTATACATATTTTTGGCGCACTTATAAAGGTGTTCTGCAATGTATACCTTTTGGTGCGCCTGTAGTTTCTATTAAGGTGTTTGTATAGTACAGTCTATACCACAGTACATATTTTGTGCACCTATAAAGGTGTCAGCTATACTACAATGTATACCTTTTGGTGCGCCTGTAGTTTCTATTAAGGTGTTTGTATAGTACAGTGTATACCACAGTACATATTTTGAGCACCTATAAAGGTGTCAGCTATACTACAATGTATACCTTTTCATGCGCCTGTAGTTTCTATTAAGGTGTTTGTATAGTACAGTACATATTTTGAGCACCTATAAAGGTGTCAGTTATACTACAATGTATACCTTTTGGTGCGCCTGTAGTTTCTATTAAGGTGTTTGAATAGTACAGTCTATACCACAGTACATATTTTGTGCACCTATAAAGGTGTCAGCTATACTACAATGTATACATTTTGGTGCGCCTGTAGTTTCTATTGAGGTGTTTGTATAGTACAGTCTATACCACAGTACATATTTTGTGCACCTATAAAGGTGTCAGTTATACTACAATGTATACCTTTTGGTGCGCCTGTAGTTTATATTAAGGTGTTTGTATAGTACAGTCTATACCACAGTACATATTTTGTGCACCTATAAAGGTGTCAGCTATACTACAATGTATACCTTTTGGTGCGCCTGTAGTTTCTATTAAGGTGTTTGTATAGTACAGTGTATACCACAGTACATATTTTGTGCACCTATATAGGTGTCAGCTATACTATAATGTATACCTTTTGGTGTGCCTGTAAGTCCTGTATGATAGTCTGTTGTTCTATCAGTTCCTCTTCTTGGTGATGGAGTCTTGCCATAGCAGTCTCTAGTCCATTTGCTGTTTCTTCATTTGATTTTTCCTGGAACGTTACAATTACAATCAATGATTGAAATCATCAATAAAATATGGCCTTTGATCATTCAAACTTTCTTTCCGTAGTATGGACAAAACACAATTGTAACTCCAGAAACATCTAACAAAAGCAAATCATATTTTGCGGGGACGATTTGGTTCAGTGGTTGTGTCCAACATATGCAATGGTATACCAGTTCATATTCTGATGGGAGACATGGTGCTTGTGTTCTTGGGCAAGCTTCTTTACCACAATTGCCTCTCTCCACCCAGGGGAATACGATAGCACTATCTCGAACTCCTACAGAAAACAGTTTCCAACTCATGTGCAATGATACATGGGTTCGAACCCTTACAGGAAGCATGTGCTTGTGTTCTCGTGTAAGACACTTTACTACAATTGCCTCTCTCCACCCAGGAGTATAAATGGGTACCTGTGAGGGTAAAGACCAATTGCGCTGATCTAAAGCTGCTGCAGAAACTGGTCTCATGGCCTGATAAACAGGGGTAATAATTGCAAAGCGCTTTGAAACTTTGAAACTGGCTTCTACCTTCCTCAAACTTGTAATATCGTCAAACAAAATCTCTGTCTGATTTTGAAGAATTTGTAAGGGTTTAAGGTGTATGAAGAATACCAGTTGCTTGATTCGTGCCAGCAGTTCGTTGTTCTCTTTCGTCTTCGCACTGAAAATTTCTTCATCACTGGCCAGATCATCAAGTGCCTAATAAGACGAAAATGACAAATACACACAGAAATAGAAAAATAATGTTGGGAAAACATCTTGGATATTACGGATACTTTGGTGTAATTTTTAATAGGGGTTTTGACCAATATTGACCCATGTAAAAGCATGGCTCATAATGCATGTTTTCATAGGAAGGTAAAATGATCTTGAATTTTTCTTGAGTAAAAAAAAAGTGTACAATTTTAGGAAAACAGTTAATTTCAGTGAAAAAGTACAAAAATTACCAGAAGACATCATTTTTTTCTCCAAATGTGGAATATGTTGACATTAATTCATAAAAAAGGGTTTTTAATAGTCTTTTTAAAATATGATTACAACAAGAAATGAATATATAATACCAATATTTCAAAAAACTGTTAAAATTTTTTTTTCTATACCTTTTTTAGTTTCTGTTGCAAGTCTTCAATAGTCGCCTGTTGATCGCCGAGCATCGCGGTTTTCCCATCGTCGTTATTAGCGTCCTGAGCCTCCTGGGCTAAATCCAACCAATTCCTGATGGCCGTTACTTCATCGTCCGTCAGTCCCTCGTTATCCTGAAGAACGTTGAGTAATTTCACGGCTTCCTCCGTGCAGACTTGGTAGTGAGCGGACTGGGTTTGTATCCTTCAATTCAAGACAAAATAGCATATTTTTGTAAAGTAGAGCTCATTTGACGCTCAGGCACTCTTTTCTCTTTTTGTTTTGCTCTTTTTATCGGCTCTAAGCGCCAACAAAAGAAGGCGCTTTTCTGCCAGTTTTGAAAGCTCTTTGGACGGGGCTCTGAGCATGTGCACACTGGTTTGCGCGCCAAGTACGCATGACTTCCTGAATGTGCCAAAGCTATCAGCCAAGCTATTCGTGTGAGCGTCAGGCATTGTCTGCGCGCGAATGCATTCAAATCAAACTTGCGATGGTCTCCTAGACTAATCCCCACCCCAATAACTTTAGATCATTCGAAATCCGCAGTGGATGGACCAGGAACCAGTCTAGGTCTACCCCAACTCTCCTTTTCTGGCCGTTGAAATTTCGATGTTTGATGTAATTTCGTTTAATTTATTATTTTACAGGGATCATGTAACTACACACAAACTAATAAAGTTAAAGGGAATATACATCATTTGTTTTTGCTGTAATTTTCAGAAATGGATGGAATTGGGGGGTTGGAAATATATAGCAAATATAGTTACACTGACTATTTTGAGGTTTTGGGTTCGAAAATGCTATAAAAACCAAAAAAAAAACCAATCATTTTCCTGTAGTCTGGTTCCCTGGCTCCACTTAGGAAGAAACAGAGCAGTTTACATATATTGGGGAATTGTAAGGTCAGGGAACCCGTCTAGCTGGCTTGTACCCGTTCATAGGTGTGTAATCGATTGCAAACAAGTGCGATGGCCAATGGGGGCCAGTATTTGAAAAAAAGCCAGTTTTCTCCAACGCTGATCGGCCGATCAGCGTTGGAAATTGATACAAAATACCACTTTTCTTGAAAATGACAGTATACCAGGTGCCATGATTTTACAGGATGCTTTACACTGTCATTCACTAACAGTCCAGCAAGGTATTTCAAAATGATTTGGTAGTTTTATTTTTTGATGTTTGCAAATGTTGTATTTTCCCTTTAATACAAATCAAGTAAAACGACAAACAAAGATAGGAAACAATTAAGCTGGCAAAGAAACTAAGATAAACAGAAAAATAACACAAGCATAATAGTACCAATAACTTGCAAATAACAATCACAAGGGGGGGGGGGGGAATGAGCATTACCTGATAATACTTCCTTCTAGATCCTTGACTCTCTGTGAATCCACTCCGTCCTGGTGAAAAAAAAAACAGAAAAAGTTGCTGGATAACGGCCAACTCCAACATCCATCAAAATTATCCATAGATATTTACAAACATGATTATTGCCCTTACATAGTTGCGGTCTGATTTCGCAGATTGGTGGCGCTGTAACTCCTCTCGCAACGCCTCTATCTCTGTCTGCATGGCCGCGATACGACACGAATTCACATCGCGATTGATAATCGGCTTATTCTTGATGTTACGTGCCTACGAGAAAAGATAACAAATAGCAAATAATATTCCAATTATTCGAAATATTTTCACCTGTATAGACTGTTTGCACTGCGGCCATGTTGAGGTGTGTGCTTTTGTTCAGCAGGGGTACGTATGTGTACACCTGTTGTGCTTTCATTGTTAATGAATTAACATAACAAAAAATAATCTCCAAGATGGCACCCTAATGCAATCAATCTATTGTACAGTCAACAGTTTGACAATCTCACTTTTACCAGTTGCCCTATGCTAGGGGTGTACATTTACGGTTAATACGGGAACCGGCTACCCGATTAAAAAAAAATCGGGTACCCGATCTTAAGTTAGGGTTAAAGACAAGTTGTATAAGACACCAAAATCTAACTTCAGTCTTACAAGACTATATCTTACCCTGTTGGCGTACTTGAGAGCGTTCAGCGTTTCGTCAAAACTGACCGCGGACGGACTGATGCACGTGATCATACACGTCTTAGCGTTGCCTCCAAGTGAGTCCTTCAAGATTCTCGTAATCTTGGAGTCGCGGTACGGGATGTGTGCGCCTCGTCGTTTGGGATCGCTCAGCGCACTGATCACGTTACCCAGGGATAGGAGACCACTGTTAATATGGACAGATTCTGTAGTAAACGATAAAAAACACAAAATGTAGATGGAAATCAATTTCCAAAAAGTTAATAGTCGGTGACGGAAAAGTAAAAAGTCATGTGCAGTGCAGTAGTCTACTAAACATGACAGCAAAAATGAAACGGAAAGTTATTTTGTTTTGTGCATTACCTTTGAATCTTTCGCCAGCGTTGCCAGTTTTGTGAGCGCGCTCAGAGCCGGCCAGATCCACAAAGTGGAATTTGGCGGCCATGGTGTGTACGCTGGCTTCTGATTGGTCGTCGTCTGCCACCGGTTCCCCGTTTGCAACATTAGCTGGGTCCTCCCATCTTTGTTCTGGTAACATCAAAGAAAAAACACAAAATATGTCCTCATCTTTAGCCCAACCAAGTTTCAAGACTATCTCTACAGTCTGTTAAGTTCTGAATATGCAGGGAAATGCATTACTAGATATTTAAGCAATACAGTCTTTGGAAAATTTGAAAGTGGTATATTGCTTCATTAAAAGGACTCGGACAGTGCAGAGAATATTAAACCTAACTTTCTCAAGTCCTCCAAAATCCTCTTTGCAAACAAAGGAGGATTTTTGCAGGATTGGGGCTATATGGCAAAAATGCGCGGCTGATGAGGATGCACTGTGTCAAGGTCTTGAGCCAGACATTGTGTTGTTTATGCTCAGCCGTGCGTAAATTTAGGCGTAGAGTATACTTGAAATCCTCCGCACTGCTCCAGGATGTCACTGGCTCTGCCTCAACATATTGACAGTGATTGCTGGAGGATTTTGCAGGATTGAGGCAGTGGTCACCCCTCAAAAGACCGCATTCAAGAAATCACAGATGATTCTGCAGGATTGAGGCAGTATGCAAAGGAGGCAGTGGGAGTATTCTGCAGGATTGAGGTTGCATCCTAGCAAAAATACCTAAGGAGTAAGGGTTAATTGAAAACCACAACATATGTCCTTATCGTTAGCCCAACCAAGTTTCAAGACTATCTCTGCCTTCTGTTAAGTTCTGAAGAGGCACGTACATGATTTGCTAGATTTTAGCAGAACAGCGTTGGACAGTTTAAAAGTGGTATACTTCCTTATTAAAAGCCACACAAAGGACACAGACGGTGACTTACGTAATGCTATAGTGAAGATAGAGTGTGATCGACTTGAGACTTCGTTCATGTTTGTAGCTCCGGTGTGCCGATGAGCTGAACCAATCGCCAGGCAGTTCAAGACTTCGTCAAGACTATCACAGGCGACCTCAGTCGCACCAATGACAACTGCATAATGACATCACATGACAATGACACATCATAATGACGAACCTTGGTGACAATTATCACACTGACAATGACACATTTAAATGAAAATGCCACATCATAATAATGGCACCACAGGGTGGAGATGACAAATGGGGCAATTCCACGGTTACTCACGTTACATTTTTGATGTACTTTTGAGTTTCCTTGGGCTGTAATTACCTTCCTGAAAAGGTTTAATAACTGTTATCCTCATGGTAGATAGAGTAGACCTAGACCTACCTACCAGTGTTGTAGGTCTCGAGACCGGTCTCGGTCTCGAGACCGGTCTCGAGACCACTTTTTGCTGGTCTCGGTCTCGGTCTCGGTCTCGGAAGCTGTGGTCTCGGTCTTGGTCTCGGTCTCGGTCCCCTTTGGTCTCGATATTTTGGCTGGTCTCGGGTCGAGACCGGCAATATGTAGCTTTTACAGCTTGATCGATTACTTTGTGTTCACTTCGTTCAGTACCGTTGTTATTTAAAACATTTGCTAGCCCGTAGATCAAGCTTGTTATATATCGCGGTCGATTTGGACTCGACTGCACGTTGGGAAGTCCCCAAAGTACATGTAAAGCTGCAGCAGTACCAGTCACTGAACGATTTGGAACAAGTTCGGCATTTATCTGTTGAGTCGGCCACATAAAGCAAAGTATAAACTTGTAACAATTTATGCAATAAGGGTCAACCATTTTCGGGGATTGTGTAGTTTAGCCCACCCCTGTGGGCGTAATCACTTGCATTTTGTATTCTGATAATAAATGAGGTGCTTCAAATTAGTGATATTTTCGACCCCACACAATGTTCTCTTTAATTTGGGACAGTATTTTGAAGAAAAAGTGAATTTTTCTACCTGATTTTCCAGCTTTGAACTCACACACTCTTACCAGTTACCACTCACTGTTGCCATGAGAGTGTATGATGAGACCCCATTTTCTGGCTGCTCATTTTGAAGTACCCCATTATTCCTCAAAAATTAAAATCCCGTTCAGAAAAAAATTAAAAATCCATATCTGGCACATTCTGGCTACCACCTTGCAACTTGTGGGTCTACATGTACAAGTCCACATTCTATGACACAAATTTAAAAATTAATTCAACATTTTCTAGCTCCCATTTTTAAAATCAAGTACACAAGTCTTGTTAGAAGTTAAGTCCTAAATTTATTTTAGGAAAAAAGAGGCAATGTAAAATTAAAATTGCATCTTTTATATCCGTTAGAAGTCATAGCTGAAACCAAGGGGTGACTGTGGAGTTTAGGATCCGAGTTCCTATAACAGATGAAACATCTACCTTTAACTTTTTACTTTTGTCACGATTGGGTGCAGACAACATGTCAAAGCCCATATTTCTTAAGTGTAACTACTTTTTGCTCAAGTAAGGTGTCATGTATCAATTTGTCAACACTGCCACTGGTCAAAATTTTGGTCTGTATTCTTTGTGAATAGAAAGGTTACATTTTTCAACTATAATAACGTGTCTTGTTTTTTTTATTTCGACTATTGTTATTTATTATCAGCGGTCTCGGTCTCGGTCTCGGACCATATTGGTCTCGGTCTCGGTCCGACTTGAAGGGGCTGGTCTCGGTCTCGGTCTCGAATCTTCAGGTCTCGGTCTTGGTCTCGGTCTCGGACTATCCGGTCTCGACTACAACACTGCTACCTACGCACCAAAGATGACATCCAGAAAAATGTGTTATGTATGATAAACAAGACGCGCAAAATCGGTTATGTTACAACTACGCTAGTGAACTATTTGTGACCAACCTACTGCGGCTGGTCGCGCAACGATTTAGCTGGTTATCAACAGCAATTTCTATAGCATAGTGCAGAGGGGACCAACTATCTACGAAAATGGCGGAAACCGAAACTGAAGCGCTAAATTTCATTTTTCATTGCACAGTTTTTCCATGTTAGTTTACGATTATGTCACTTTTGTCATCATTGTACAATAATACTGGCGATAATGTAAGATGTCCTAAACTATACAAAATCACTATTATTGTGTAAATAAAGAGAAACAACAAGTGTTGAATAATTGCGCGACCGCCATTTTTTGACGGTCGTTGACATGACAATAATTCCACTAGAGTCGTTCGCAGTTCAACTTCAGCGCGTATGCGCTAGGTACGTCACGAACCAACCACTAGATAACCTTGGTCCTTGATCCAACTCGCCCCATGATGACAATTGTTAGTTTTGTTTCAAGCCGTTACTTACCAGTGTTTCCGTGCTCATCTTCCCTGATATGCATCTCTTTGCTGCTAGTCTCCAAATCCAGCAGGTCTTTGAGCTCCTCCTTATAGATCTCAATGTACGACACGTTCAGGTTGTATTCCACGTTGTGGTTTTCCTGATGCAAAGAAATTGTAAACAGATTATTTGTTCACAAAAGTTTGTAAACAGGTACGACATATAGATGGGCTCCACGCACAAGTACCCCCTCAACGGTAAGAAAGGGAGAGTTGGGGGAGACTACTGGGAGAGATATTTGAGCGCGTTGCTCAAAACGCCCGCCACTCATGTGAAGATGCTACGGGTTTGTGAACATTCAGAATAAAATAAGTCGTAAATACTTCGCGCAATACCTGTGAACCTCTTTGAATGTGTTCTACATAACCCCCGAGGACCGGCACACAAAGGGAGAACAACAAATCCTTTCAGTCCTCGGGAGTCGGGTCTTTTGTTGGAAACGGTCCCCTGTAGTAAATTTGTGTGCTTAGTCAATGGGAGAGTGTTGTAATACAGGGACAAAATGAAACACAAAGCATTGTCCTCGAGAGTATAGTAAAACAAGAGAGGGTACACATGGTGTGTCTCTCCTAGTGGGGCTTTTGAATGGTTTTCGAATGGTTTTCGAAACTGTATGCGTTCGTGGGAGAATCTTAGACATATGTACCTTAATGATGTTGTACATTTGTTGCACAGCTCTGGGGATGATGCCTTGTTCATCTTCGGTCAAGGCAGCCGCCGTATGTCCCCCGACAGTGTAGGTTTTGCCAGAACCCTACATAAGCAAGCACGTGTATAACTGTTATCTGTGAAAGTCTTCATTGTCTAATGGGTGAGTGTGGCCTAGTGGTTAGGGTTCGTTACTCGTAATCAGAGGGTCAGGGGTTTGAATCCAGCTGCTGGTCATGTTGTGTCCTTGGGCAAGCCACTTCACCCCACTTGCCCCTCTCCACCCAATAGTATAAATGGGTACCGGCAAAAGCAGACTCATGATCAGGGGGTCAGGGGTTTGAATCCAGCTGCTGGTCATATGTTGCGTTCTTGGGCAAGCCACTTAACCCCTACTTGCCTCTCTCCACCCAGGAGTATAAATGGGTACCGGCATAAGCTGGGGAGTAACCTGCGATGGACCGGCACCCAATCCAGGGGGAACAGAAATATTCTCAGTCGTTTCATGCCACAGAAACTGGAGATAAACGCCGGCCTGACGGTCCATATTGGCTCGTGACAGACTTTATTTCTCAATAGGTTTTTACAGGCTTTCAAACCACAGTGCTAAGAGTATTTTCGAGGAAAACTTAGGTGCAAGAAAATTACAATAAGAACTTACTGTTTGTCCATATGCAAAGATTGTTGCATTGTAACCTTCAAAGAAACTGGCCACTAAACTGCTCACACAGATGTTATACACTTCTTCCTGTTAAGAACAAGAAATGGGGTTGATTGACTTGTGATTGACTTATGACTGACTTGTGATTGACTTGTGATTGACTTGTGATTGACTTGTGATTGACTTGTGACTGACTTGTGATTGACTTGTGATTGACTTGTGATTGACTTGTGATTGACTTGTGACTGACTTGTGATTGCCTTGTGACTGACTTGTGATTGCCTTGTGATTGACTTGTGACTGACTTGTGATTGCCTTGTGACTGACTTGTGATTGACTTGTGATTGACTTGTGACTGACTTGTGATTGCCTTGTGATTGACTTGTGATTGACTTGTGATTGACTTGTGACTGACTTGTGATTGCCTTGTGATGGACTTGTGATTGACTTGTGATTGACTTGTGATTGACTTGTGATTGACTTGTGATTGACTTGTGATTGCCTTGTGATTGACTTGTGATTGACTTGTGACTGGCTTGAGATTGACTTGTGATTGACTTGTGATTGACTTGTGATCGACTTGTGACTGACTTGTGACTGACTTGTGATTGACTTGTGATTGACTTGTGATTGACTTGTGACTGACTTGTGATTGACTTGTGATTGACTTGTGACTGACTTGTGACTGACTTGTGATTGACTTGTGATTGACTTGTGATTGACTTGTGATAGACTTGTGATTGACTTGTGATTGACTTGTGATTGACTTGTGATTGACTTGTGATTGACTTGTGATTGACTTGTGATTGACTTGTGATTGACTTGTGATTGACTTGTGATTGACTTATGATTGACTTGTGATTGATTTGTGATTGACATGTGATTGACTTGTGATTGACTTGTGATTGACTTGTGATTGACTTGTGACTGACTTGCGATTACCTAATACTCGATTTGTGATTGGCATACAATAAATCTCAAACCTGGTTTATCTTTGAAGACAAAACATGGTCAAACGTGAATGCGCGATCCCTTCCGACAATCACTTGATTGGAGTTAAGAATCACGCGCACACAACTCTCGTGATGATGCAGCTTCTCTTGAGGAAGAAATGGGCGGATCTAAACAAAAAAGAAAACAAATTTGGGACGAAAAAAAAAAAGCTTTTAATTTCAGATATGCTAATAACATTCTTTGCAAGATATTTGCCAAGCTATGAAGAAGACAGACCCCAAAAAGTGAGTTACATTAACATGAACCCTCCTTTGCAAACATACATTCTGCGCCAAGTTGTCCTTTCAATCAAAATCAGTCAAGAGACTATTCTCAACAGTTAAGAGCTCCCAGTCTACATAAAGCAGGATTGGCTGGCTGTGACTGTGTATGTAACTTGATGCAGCTATGCTTTGACTGTAGGTGATTGATAAGCCAGCTGTGCCTACCAGTCACCTGCTTTTGTCTGTTGACTGAGTTTGACTAGTCACAGTGCTTGCTTGAAATATGATCTGACTGTTGGTGACTAGCCTGTGTAAAAGGCATGGCAGGGAAGAGGATTGATTTTTGACTGTCTGTGACTGTTCAGACAGCAGGAGGGTTTAATGCTGCTACCAAGCGCTTCATTGCAAAACAAAATACGAATATGTCGGTATGAATTTAAAATCCATATTGAACTCGCTTTCATTATCACTCGGGTGAAAAATTGTCTGGTAGTTTATAAAAGTTGAATTGAGATCTCAAACTTGGCTGGCGACATACTGATGACCAACTTTGATTGAATGAAGGATGTTTGGACTGCTCTAGTTGACTTTTGGGACCGGAGCATGGAGCATGGTTCCATCACTGGTTACCAACAGCAGCCCATCGTAAAGCACCGTGGGAACCAGCGCCTGATTTCATGAAACTCATCGTAACTTACGATGCATTGCAGCATGTCGTATCCCTACAATGCAGTTCTGCGATCCATTTCACAAAACACATTGTTTTATGTACATGTAGTCAGCGTACAGTAAATAGTTGTCTGATATTCAACAAAGAGATGTTGCATCTGATTCTCCTCTCAAAACTTTGTAAAACGTAAAAAAGAAATGGTGGATGTGTAATGTAATTTTAAAGGAAAACAAGCTCTCAGTGGACTGTAAAGCAACTTTGGAATTTCAACAGCAATTTTCCACGCTAATTCATAATTATTCAATGCAATTTCTATTTACAACTTTATACACAATGTCTCAGTTTTCGTTTATGTAATTTTACGGCATAAAACTGGCTAAGAAAAGGACGCTTCTTATTTTGCGATGACCACTAGACACGTCGTAATTTGCGACGTGTTTTAAACCGTTGTCAAGGAACTTTGTGAAATCGGGTGCAGAAACATTCGGTTTTGCGATCATGTTTTGATCAGCGCTTGCACTTTGCTTTTATGCACAGGTGCAAGTGATATAACAAATCAACTGCTAACATTAGTCAACTAATGGTCCTCATCTGAACTTGTTCTCTTCGAGTGCATACTCACCCTAACGGCCACACGGACTGGTACTTCCTGCATTGTTGCCGTTTCAGTGACAAAAGCAGCCAGATTCTACAAAATTACTAAGGATATGGCACCTAGACCATCTCATCATTTTCCCATATAGTTTGTTCTGAAAAGAAAAGAAAATTAAATAAAATAAAATTTATAAAATTTCAATTAAGGGAATGTACAACATTTGCTTTTGCTGCAATTTTCAGAAATAAATGGATTTGGAGGATTAGGCCTAGTTTGTTATAGAAAATATTGTTAAACTGACGGAAAAAATTCCGTACTCGGACGTCACTTTTTTCAATTAATTTTCTAGCGCCAAAAGTTACATCTTTTTATGGTTATTCCTCCACTTTCCCTCCTCTGCTCTCACCCTCTCCTTTCCTCAATTTCTATATCAGTCAGTTACTTCATCGGGATTCGAACCTCTGACGCTTGCTTGATACACGAGACTCTTAACCGCTAGGCCGCGCACGATCGCTGTTGCAATAATCAATCTTTGGACGTATTTGAAGTATCCATTGAAATAAACTAAATATTCATGAGAAAATAAATATTCATAATGACGTATTGCACTATCATTGGCAGGCTCATGCGACGTCATGGTTGTTGATGTCACGTGTATAACGTTCCGCTGTCAATTCAGCCACTACAATCAGTTTTGACCGGCTGCTTCAAGTTAGTTCTCCACGACGTATGCATCCAAAATGTGCTCTAAAAACACATTTTGAGTAAATTTTTTCACCTTTACACAGCTTCCTGGATTTCTCTTGGTTCAAATGACAAGGTGAGGTGACAATTAATATGTTTGGCAGCAGATAAATTGGCATCCGAGTATGGAACTTTTCCCAAACTGACTTGTTTCACGTTTTGGGCTTGTTGTAGATGCAGGAGAAACCAGGAAAACCAATTATGTTCTGAGCATCACCGAATTTGTAAATGCGATAACAAAACTAGAAATTGGACGACAGAGGGCGTTATTGCATAGTTTCGGTGGATTCCTAATTTCGTGCACAACTCCATATAGCAAAAAACACGAACGGTAAATGTTCAATTTTCGGGTCCTAATAATATCACGGCGTCCTTTGACATATCCTGCCGACTACGCCAAATTGTAACGGGCAAGAATACTGCTGAATTTGTCTAAACAGGAACTTGAGTGAGATATGAGGATCTTCGGTCCGTGTTGTGTGAATTGAAAAAAATACGACGAGCCAAGAAAGTTGGTTGCGCGAATACTGGGCAGCTGCAGTGTGAACTTGGGGCATGCACCGCACGATCTTTCCCTACACAGTGTTTCCAAAACGATCACTAAAGTAAAAGTTGTGGAAAGATTTCCATATACTATATAGTATATATACGAAGTTCACTCAACCATAGAGCAAGGACAGACAACACCCTGTGTACAAACCCTATGACTGTATGAGATTGGTTGGACTGAAAAATTATAAGTGTTTTCATGGTTTTCTAAGAAAATGCTTGTATTTTCTCACTGCTCAAATTGACTTTGATGACATGAAATTGCTATCTGGGGCTTGTTAGTCAATACAGAGGAAAATTAGTGAACTTCGTAAATGGAAATCTTTCCACCATGAAAAATTTAGAACGTTTACCTCGGCATCGGTGTCGATATCAACAAAATGTGTCAAAGGTTGCACAAAGGGCGCCCTCTATATCATTCTAAAATTTAGACTGACACAGAGGGCGCTCTTTCGGTCAGTTTAATTTTCATCAGGTTCATTTGAGGGCGCACTACACAAATAGTGGTCCCCACTTAAGAATTTTTGTCAACAGGGAAAAAAAGGTATTTCTTGGCTCGTCCACTGAACGAGTGCTCTGGTTTTGTTCAGGAGTTAGGCCGGTTGTCAGTAGACTTTAACTTAAATTAAGCCGGTTTTTTTTTCTGTACGCTGGTGACCAAGCTTTGTGTAGCGCGCCCTCTTTTGAAAGATCATTTAAGTACTACGGGCTTAATTTCGGTTTGTTTTTTTCGCGCAAATTACATTGTTATGGTTATATCATTTTAATTAAATAACCATTTCTCCCGAAATACAATACCATTGTGTTATATGTGACGACAAATATATAAGTAAAATTTCAGCTTGTTACAATAGTTATTTCGTGAGTTATCGTCCGGAAACCAAGTCCGTTGTTTTCATTCCATTAAAGTTGACTTCAATTCGGCCGGGTTGCGTTTTTCGTTAATACAACACTACATTTTTATTATTTTTGTCAAATGACCATTTTTCCTGAAATTCAACAGAAATGTGTTACATAGCACCAAAAAAAAAAAAATTAATGACAACCTTAATTTCCATCCATGTATAATGTTTGGGGAATTTGTACTGAACACATGTCCAAAAGTTGAGATATAGACCTCCATAAAGTTCGGGATTTGACCTCATTATCGCGTTCGCTGCGGACTGACTGGGTATGCGCGGGGTGGCAGGTAATTCTGTCCCCCCTGGTAAATGTGTCCCCCCGGACAGATTTACTGGGTCGTGACCCTGTAAATCTGTCCGGGGGACACTTTTACCTAGGTAAACCTGTCCCCCTCTAGGTAAATCTGTCCCCCTGCACGACGTTAAATGTGTCCCCCCTGGTAAATGTGTCCCGTGCAACGTCACAAGTCTAGCACCCAGACTGTATATTAGTAAAGTTATTAACTTTTTTTGCGCGGCGCCTTGCTAAATTCGGGAATGGTGCTTACGTCAAAGCACAACTCCCGTTTTGATGACGACTTCGGGAGCGAGCGAATTGCATGGTGGGCAAAAAAAGACTTGAAATGCACATTTATATTAAGCCGCATGGTAGCAAAAATAAAGACAAAATGGAACTCGAACGAGCAAGGAACACGGACCAAGGAGTTCGTTCTTAATTATTCCTCCATGAACACACACACACACACACCCATGCATGACGCTGGGAACACAAATCAGAATGCTTGCAAGACCATGCGGGAAGTGTTACATAACACATTCTTGGATGTCCCTCACTGCGCTATTAATAGGCTTGGTAATACAGCCCGAGGAAAAGTAAGCTCAGCGGACACATCACATCAGCATGTATCGTGCTCATGTAACGTGCTCTGTAACGTGCTCAACTGTCCGCCGAATCCTACTGAGGGCGTGCGCGCTAGCCGTATAGGTTGAGTATTACTACGCGTGCCTTTTCTGCTTTCTTGCAGAAACATAGATCGGTTGATTAACATCTAAACGTTAATTTCATTTTGATAATCATTGAGGAAGGGTGGAAAAATCTAAAAATGTATACCCTGTGCGCTGAATTCATTATAATAACATCAATATAACAACTTATGCGTGCAAAACCAGGGGGGACAGAATTACCTGGAGGGGGACAGAATTAACGGGACAGGGGGGACACTTTTACCTAGGTAATTCTGTCCCCCCGGACACTTTTACCGGGGGACAGAATTACCGTCCACACGGGCCAAGGCCCTCCGAGGGGCAGTCAAGTGAAAAATAATACACACAGAGAGAAACTCGGCACAAAGTTGTAGCGTATATCGCATTTTTCTCCCCAATATTAGGGTGGCTACAGACTTCAAACTTGCTGGAGGTTGTTGCCACAATAACAAACTTTCCATCCATGTATAATGTTTGGGGATTTTGCAATGAATGAACACACGTCCAAAAGTTGAGATATAGACCTCCAGATTTGCGCGGGCCAAGGCCCTCCGAGGAGCAGTCAAGTGAAAAATAGTATATACACAGATAAAAACTCGGCAGCAAACTGTAGCGTATATCGCATTTTCTCCACGAGATTTGGGTCTACAGACTTTAAACTTGCTGGACGTTTTGCCACAATAACAAGCTTTTTATCCATGTATAATGTTTGGGGAATTTGTACTGAACACATATCCAAGGTTGAGATATACACCTCCAGGTATGCGTGGACCCAAGGCCCCGCCTCCGAGGGGCAGTCAAGTGAAAAATAGTATACACAGATAAAAACTCGGCACAAAGTTGTAGCGTATATCGCATTTCCTCCACGAGATTTGGGTCTACAGACTTCAAACTTGCTGGAGGTTGTTGCCACAAGTTTTTTGTGTACGTTGGTGACCACGTTTTGTGTAGCGCGCCCTCTTTTGAAAGAACATTTTAGTTGGCTTCTTCGCTCGTTCTCCCGCCCTGCAAACATGACGCTGGGATACTCTGATGAATTCACGCTCTGATTGGTTGGATTTTGCGTGACCTGTGACCTGCGCGTCATCCCGGTCATGACTCTGAACGGTTTGAAACGGCCGTTAAGACTGATTCATTACTCTTTTATTCCAGTTTAGAGATGTTTTTTTTTCATTGAAAAGCGTTATAATGTAGGAAATTCTGTAAAACTTATCTGTGTTGCAAATTTACAATTCCCGTCACTTGCTCGGGCTCCGTTTCGAATCACGAACGGTCAGATCGCATTATGCGGCGCTCAAAATTTGTCCACATGGTCCGCAATGAAAGAGAAATAGTGCATCCGGTATGGAACGTGTGCATTTCTATGGGAAGTTTTCGGATAGCATTTGCGCACATTGTCTAATACTGCGGTCTTAACTGCAGCTGCAGCCAGATGCTTTATACATAGGTCATAGGCCACTTCCTTCACAAGATTCTGTGAAGCTCATCAGAGTATCCCAGCGTCCTGTTTGCAGGGCGGGGGGTACGAGCGAAGTGCATTTGGCAAAATGGGACATCGATCTTATCGCTGTATTCTGATTCCAAATTATTTACTTTAAATTGTTAGCTTCTTAAACGTAGTTTAGACTTTCATTAGAGAAACAAAGACATATATACAATATTCTTTTCTGTAATCTTTTTCATTTATTAGATGCATGTACATGCAAATGTAATTAGTGACAAACACAAGTTATAATGTACTACATAATAAAAGCTAACAAGATATACAATCTCAATCACTTTCTCTGTTTTCATTCAAAAACAAAACACGAGAAGTTTTCCCAGCTAAAAAATTTGTTGTACAAAAAGGTTCTTATCTGTGCATGACTATCGACTATCAACCAGGTTTTATATGCAAGCAAAATGCTGGGCACCAGTTGAAAGTGATATAAATAATAGTACAATTTTCATTGGCGACCACTTTTTAATGCGCAGAATAACAGAAAAAAGCATAGGAAATTTTATAAAAAACTGGGGACCAGTCACGGGTGATATAGAAACCATTACATTTTAGCTGGTAACCTATTTTTGCTAAGCATATATTTCCCATGCTAGGAAATATTAGCTGGGGACCAGTCACAGGTGATATACAAACCATTACGTTTTAGCTGGCAACCTATTTTTGCTAAGCATATATTTCCCATGCTTAGGAAAAATAAGCGGAGGACCAGTCACAGGTGATAAAGAAACCATAACATTTTAGCTGGTAACCTATTTTTGCTAAGCATATATTTTCCATGCTTAGGAAATATTAGCCGGGGACCAGTCACGGGGGATGTAAAAACCACTACATTGTAGCTGGTAACCTATTTGTCTAAGCAAATATTTCCCATGGTTAGCATATTGGCCAAAAAGTGTCCTCAATCAATGGTGTATCATTTGTCCAACTTTGGCTTTTTCAAAACTCCAACGGAAGAAATGACGGTGGTTTTTGTGACGGTCGGCGCTGGTATAACGGGAGCCATGGTGACGGGGTTGGTTACTAAGGCACTCATCATGCTGACCTGGGGTCTGGTTACCATGGTGATAGGGAATGGCTGGATGGGGGTAGGTAGTGGTAGAAGTGGTCGAATTGTGTCCGTTGGAACGACGCCCCATTTTGATTTACGCTTCCTTTCTGGTTCGTCTGCGAAAAAAAAAACCCATTTCAAACAATGTATAGCAATAAATAATGTGACGCTTATTTTTCACTTCACACCAAAGTCTCACAGCACTTCATAAGTATTACCCCTGTTCATCATGCCATGAGGTATCAACCCTCACAGGTACCCATATATATTCCTGGGTGGAGAGAGGTAATTGTAGTAAAGTGTCTTGCCCAAGAACACAAGCACACTAGCAACTGTAATTCACAATATAAATATCAAAGGCACCCATTTATACTCGTGGTTGGAGGTACGCAATTGTAGTAAAGTGTCTTGCCCAAGAACACAAGCGAAGTAGCAACTGCAATTTACAATATAATAATCACAGGTACCCATATATACTTCTGGGTGGAGAGGCAATTGAAGTAAAGTGTCTTGCCCAAGAACACAAGCACACCGGCAACTCCAATTTGCAATATACTTATCACAGGTACCTATTTATATTCTTTGGTAGAGAGAAGCAATTGTAGTAAAGTGTCTTGCCCAAGAACACAAGCACAGGCAACTGCAATTTGCAATATGATTATCACAGATCCCCATTTATACTCCTGGATGGAGAGGCAATTGTAGTAAAGTGTCTTGCCCAAGAACACAAGCACAATATGCGACTGCATCAATATGATCATCCGCCTGTACATTTACTTGAAAACCATCAAATATTTAATTTAAAATCTAGTCAAAAAGTAAGAAATACAGGGTGAGCAAAAAAATTGAATCCCAAATATCTGGACCAATGTTTTACTGAAGTCCTACTTTAAAAATATAGGATACGAAAGCCCGATTCATAAGCTTTCTTTTAGTACAAGAATCATTCAAATTACTCATGTACTTTTCAAGTTATGGAATTTGAGACACGACCAGTGTTTTGAGGTTCTGCCCACGGATCACAAAAAAGTAAGTGTTCTTTCAGCAAAACGAAAACAAATCACATAGGGATGTGTGTGAATGGTTTTCGTTTTGCTGGAAGAACGCACACCTTTTTGTGATCCGTGGACAGAACCTTAAAACGGTGGTTGTGTTTAAAATTCTGGAACTTGAAAAGTACATGTGAATGATTCTTGTACTAACAAAGGTTATGAATTGGGCTTTTATATCCTAGATTTTGAAAGTGCTACATGCAGAACTTCATAAAAGCAATAGTCCTGACATTTTGGTTTCATTTTTTTCACTCACTCTGTGTACACAAAATTTTAAGCTACATACCTGAAGTAGTGGCTGGTAACGAATGGCTAGTCGTGATGGACAGTAGCGGTACTGCGGTGGTTGCAGGTTGTGTAGTCACAGCTGTAGATGTTGTAGTTGCTACCCCTGCAGTTGTTGTGACCGTCGGGGCTAATGCTGATAATGACTTTTTGGCCATCCCCATCTTGAATTCTACTTTGGTTCGTTCTTTCTTTTCCTTTTCACGTTTGGCCATATCTTCCTTTTGTACTTTAGCTGTAAAAATCAAAGGTATAGAAGGAATACAGTTGAAAGTCAGTGCAGTCAAAAATAAGTAGAGTGTGGCCTAGTGGTTAGGGTTTGTGACTCATATTGAAAAGGTCAGGGGTTCGAATCCTGCTGCTGGCCATTCAGTGTGTCCCTGGGCAAGCTACTTCATACCAATTTGCCTCTCACTACCATTAACACAACACTGCGCTGAACCACAACACTGCGCTGAACCCTGCGCAGCGTTTTTAAAAAAACTTTACAACAACTCCTCAACTGCTGCCCTCTGGGCAGCAGGTACTTTCCTGCACTACGCAAGACCCTATTCATAGCAATACAACAAAAAGCCACGTGCCAGACAGTGTCCAGACAGTGCGCTGGAAAGATAATTGACTGGCGGCTGTGGTATGCAGTTATGAAGGGAGATGACTGTGTCAAGTTACAGGTCTTTGTTGATGTTTCAATGAGACTTGGCAGGAGGCCTGGTCGAAAGTTTGTTAACACGGCCTGGGTGTAGCCCTGGCTGCAAAGTTCATTGAACCAGCTGATTTGGCAAGGGTTGAATGAGGATTAGATAGGAGGTGAACGTTATTGGCCCTCAACTTTTTTTTTTTTCAAAAAAAAAATCGGTTACCTGGGGCCTAAAGGGTAGCAGGTCACTCTGCGCAGGGTTAAGGGGAGTGTGGTCTAGTGGTTTGGGATTGTGACTCGTATTTAAAAGGTCAGGGGTTCGAATCCTACTGCTAGCCATATATTGTGTCCTCAGGCAAGCTACTTCACACCAACTTGTCTCTCTACCCACTACCTTCTCAACCAATCACAGAACACAACGCTGATTACCTAATGGGAGTGTGCCACATTGGTTAGGGTTTGTGACTCGTGATCAGAGGGTCAGGGGTTCGAATCCAGCTGCTGGTCATATGTTGTGTCCTAGGGCAAGCCACTTTACCGTACTTGCCTCTCCCCACCCAGGGGTATAAATGGGTACCAGTATTAGCTGGGGAGTAACCTGCGATGGCCTGGCATCCAAGGGGAGTAGAACTGTTCTCAGTTGTTTCATGCCACGGAAATGGGTGATAACACAACCACAGTTCGAAGTTGCTTTTAGTTGGAACACTTACCGAGCGCTTCGTAGTAGGAACTTTCATCCCAGCCATGAGGGTTGAAGACGTCACTCGGGAAATTGCTGCCTTGCTCATCAATGTGGAGATACGTAATCAGCTTTTCATAAATACTGCAACCGAAAAAACAATGAAACGTTTGTGAGGCGTTCCGGAAAAATGAGACGTATCTAGGATGAGGTCCAAATGAAAATTTACTGGTATCAGGAAAGAGAATACAATTCTCCTTGCAGTACTGTTTGTTGCACTTGAATCGGATATTCCATTGACAAGTTATGGCTGTTTAAAGTTCCCATTTATCAACATGTCAAAAAAGTAGAATGCTGAGAAAAAGGCCTTGAAATGTTTCAAATTTTTCCTTAAAAACTCTTGTTTTCCAAAATTTTATATTTTTTTTCTCTAAAATATATGTAGTAGACATACCAAAAAGTACAAACATCAATAAATCTGAAAATTGTAAACAATCACCCAACTTGTTTTTGTTTTTTGTTTTGTTGTTGGGATTTTGTGTCACTACTGCCCGTGCCCAGTTCCGTTTCTGAAAGTGTACGTAAAGAGCCCTCTATTGATTGCCATCTGCTCCGTTCACAAGTACCCCCTCACTGGCAAAGAAAGTACAGTTGGGGGTGACCGACCGACGCCATCTTGCCTGACTGAAATTCATTTGCCGCGAAGCGCGGCCACTGCGTGTACATAGCACAAATCCCCTAGTACGCAACAACCCTCACATAGTTAAAATGCCGCACTGCCGATAACTTTGCGACTCTGACTTACCTAGGGTTCCGTAAATCTTTCCGTGCCTGAATGCGGTTCAGATTGAAGCGTTTCTTGTAGAAATTTGAAATCTTATCCTGAAACGCACCAAAAACATAAACAAAATGTCGGTATGAGTACATACAGTGTACATGGGTACAGACCAGTAAATCAACTGTCATAGATGTCAGTGATAATTACGTGTACTTCCAAAAATCATTTTTAAAATACACACAATTGTCCAAGGTGTTTGAGACACACATCAAATTAAAGCATACTTTATCATCTTTAATTTTCTGTTAAATTTTCAGGGGTTAATCTGAAGACTTTTGGGACAAAATTCCATCCAAAGATGATAACCCCTAATAGCAGTCCTGTAACCAATTGCCTTTTTGAAAAATGATGCCTCACTCCATTGCAAAATAGAGCAATTTTAGTGCCCAATTTCATCCAAATTTCACAGAAGTTGAGCTCGCAGTCCTGTGCACAGCTTTCAACCTTCTTTTTTACAAACCTCGAGTTCATAGCCCACAAAATGCTCTAATAGCAAAAAATTATTTCTTTTGAGTACGATTATGAGTAAAAGTACATTCTCACGAATACATGTACGACTCAAAAAATATTCTTCAGTATGAGTTAGTGGTGAGATTCAAATCCGGATTTTTGGACATTCGGTTTGAATTCCACTTTTTCGTTTGATTAAAAAAAAACCAGATACTCAAAACCGACTTGAAAAAAATTTCAGCCTACAAGTTTTCGTGACACACGCTAACAACTGGAACATCCTCCAATTTGCTCCATGATCTCTGATTGTAACTGCATTCACAAGCCAGTGGTCTTCTTGGTATATGAAAAGCCTGCCCATTCGACTTATCAGAGAGTTCCCATCCATTTTGTCAACATTACACATCTGGAGTGTTTTTGTAAAGGCCCAGTGGTCATTGAATCCTGCAAACTATACCCAGTCATTGGGAGGGCATTTCGTGCGGCACCTCACTCGTCACTTTTTGTTGGCGTGACTGTGAGCTGAATGGGAACTTCCAGTGAAATCAGATAATGGTTACTCAGTTTAAAGGGAAAATACAACATTTGCTTTTGCTGTTATTTCCAGAAATAAATGGATTTGGAGGATTAGTGTGCTATTGAAAACATTGTTCAACTACCGTAATTTTCGGAATATAAGCCGCGGCTTATACGTTGATTTTGCCCATGAAAATGTTTACTGCGGCTTATACACAGGGCGGCTTATACGCCGAGCCTTGAAGAATAAAAATGACATTTACATGTGTATTTAATGTTGTGGTATAAGAAGAGATGTGTTGCTGAAATACAGTGTAATTATCAATTAAGAAAGTCATTAACAAACCGAAAGCACGTCCCACAAAAAGGTACCGAGCGGTAAAAACGTACGGCTAGTAAAAGCTATCTCTTCGACATCAACAACCGGCCGTACGTGATGCTGCATGCATGCTGCATGGATTCCCCATGGACCACACCATTTGTGGTAATAAAGGGGTGTACTTTCTTGGGGAACAATAATTACCAATATTTTCCCTGTTTAAAAAATGAAAAAAAGACAACTAATACTTTTTATGGAGTTCGAAACATATCTTAATTTGATAATCAGTTGTTCAACATCACAATATATTTTTTTTCTTGAAATGTATTCAAGAAATGATGTAAAACTCAAAACAGGGGTGAAATCACCCCTTATGAAATTAATGGCTTCGTCCACAAAAATTTCAGCATCGTGTTGACTGTTTTCGAAGAAAATTACGATCCAAACTTGAATTTTTGACGTTACTACTCATTAGTAATCACAACAATTTGATAAGTTTTGCTGTAAAAACGGACTTGTTTATTCTTAGGGCAAAACAACTCAGCGTCTGTTGCCACAAAGCAGGATTTGTAGCACTCCAGTCTGACGACACATGGTGGGTTGCATGCTCTTTCAAGTGCTGGGGGAAAATGTTATCATTCGCCGGCGCAGGCTCACTGACGAGCCAGCCGGCAGCAATTCCCATTTTTTATTTCTTATCATCAATTTCCATATTTGTTTGTAATAGTATCGACTGTAAATGATTTGATATAACTTTTGTGGCCCTTTTTTATAGCTTTCGTAGTGTAAATGGAAATGGTTCAGAGCATTTTGACTAGAATTTGGAGGCCTTACAAAATTTAAACCGCTGCGGTCGGTGCGGCTTATACGCCGGTGCGGCTTATACGCCGACTTCAAATCTTAATTTGCAGATTTTTGCGTGCTGCGGCCTATACGCCGCGCGGCTTATATTCCGAAAATTACGGTAGCTTGTTTCCCGTTTTCCGTTATGAGATGCTGGAAAATCTAAAAAAACAAAACCATGTTTTTGTAGTCTGGTTCCCTGACCCTGGTTAAGATGAGACGTTGCAATTTATAGACTTTGGGGATTGTAAGGTAAGGTGTAATAAACCAACTATGTTCTTGTAGTCTGGTGCCCTGACCCTGGTTAAGATGAGACGTTGCAATTTATAGACTTTGGGGATTGTAAGGTCAGAGAATCAGTCTAGCAGGCTTGTGCCCCTTCACAGAAGGGTAGTCAATTGCAAAGAAAATGCGGAATGACTAAATATGAAAATTAGGAGCAATTTTTGAAACAAGCCAGTTTTCTCCAATGATGGTGGGCTGACCAGCTTTGGAAGTTTTCTTGAAAATGTCAGCACACCAGGAACCACGATTTTACAGGATGCTTTAGATTGTCATTCACTAACAGTCCAGTAAGATATTTCATTATAATTTGATTATTTCATTTTATGATGTTTGCAAATGTTGTATCTTCCCTTTAAAGGGAATGTACAACATTTGCTTTTGCTGCAATTTTCAGAAATGAATGGATTTGGAGGATTAGTATGTTTTAGCAAATATTGTTACACTGACTTGTTTCACGTTTTGGGTTCGTAGATGCTGGAAAAGCCAAGAAGACCAATCATATTCTTGTAGTCTGGTTCCCTGACCGACTTAAGATGAAATGGAGCAATTTATAGACTTTGGGGAATTGTAAGATCAGAGAATCAGTCTAGCAGGCTTGTAGTCTTCACATGTGTGTAATCAATTGCAAAGAAAATGCACACAAACAAAATATAAAAATCTAGGAGCACTTTTTGAAAAAAAGCCAGTTTTCTCCAACGATGGTCGACCGACCAGCATTGGAAAAATACAAGTTTTCTTGAAAATGTCAGCACACCAGGAAGTTTTTACAGGATGCTTTAGACTGTCATTCACTCACAGTCCAGTAAAATATTTCGTTATAATTTGATTATTTCGTTTTATGATGTTTGCAAATGTTGTATCTTCCCTTTAAATAAAAATGTGATAACCGGATTTAGAAATCTCGGATTTCTCACACCACTAGTAGAGTTTGAGTTTGTACGAAAAGGAGTGTGAGTACGACAACATTGCCATGGGGATTTGAGTGTTTGTTACCTGTAAGTGTTTCGAGCATCTGCCCGTCGGTTCTGGGGGGAGCCTCACGTCGCCGTCGTCCATGCTACACGAGCGACGGATACTCTCCGACAACGCAACCGCAGATTCCGAGTTGATTGATGCGTTAAGATAGGCATCGTCTCCTACCTGAACCCAACAACAAGGAATCATTTCAATTAAGAGAAAGAGAAGTTGCGAAAACTTCATCGGGTATTTTTGTTGCAGGGTTCTGAACACTTGGATGTTTGAATACTGCCCTCATGTGATCAAATTTTGGACATCAGCATCAAATTTTGAAGAGAAAAAAATCATACTTTTCAATGTTTTCTCAAACAACATTTCAAGGAAAGTTTGTTAACCCTAGGCCTTTTAGCTACGATATAGCCTCAATCCTGCAAAATCCTGCAATTGGCCTCATGGAAATAAAGCATATAGCCTCAATCCTGCAAATTCCTCCATTATTTCTTGAATATGGTCCGTGGAGGGGTGACCACTGCCTGAATCCTGCGGCAGTGACTGTCAATATGTTAAGGCTAGGCCAGTGACATCCTGGAGCAGTACGGAGGATTTCAAGCATAATCCAGGCCAACTTTATGCATGGCTGAGCAAAAACAACACAATGTCCAGCCCAAGACCTTGACAAAGTGCATCCTACGAAATCAGTAACGCACTTTTGCCATGTAACCTCAATCCTCCAAATTCCTCCACTTTCGCAAAGAGGATTTTGAAGGATTCAGGGCGGTTAGGGTTAACATTTTTCTTCTAACGTTAACAATATTTTCTGCAAATGATTCTGCTGGCTTTTAATTAATAGAATGTTGAATAACCAAATTGGAAAATGGGGGATTTTCCGTGGCAACTTACCTTCGCCAGTCCTTGGATTTGCGGCATTTCGTCATCGCTGATGACATCAGCATCACGGGAGTCTTCCGCGACTTCTGTAGGTAATCTCTCCTCGTCGCCCGCGTACGCCACAAGACCTGCGGACACATGATATGTAAAGACGACTCAGACGAGAGAAACTAGTAGAGCTGGTCTCAGAGTGCACACATTCTATTCAATTGATTCACAATGGCTTTTCACTGGAAGTCTTTTCGTACATGGTCTACACAATGCGCCAGATTCAGCGGTGTTACTGGGTAACCCTATACAACAGCACTGCCCGACTGTCAAGTAACAGCAGTCAGTTAGACAATCAGCAGGACCATTACAAATCAGAAAAAGTACCAGTCAACAGCAATATCAATCGCACAATATTTGGTTGGTAACCTCTCCTTGCTCACACTAGTCTTGTTGACAGGATGATTATCAATGCCATGTGGTGAGGCTGGCTAGACTCACAATATGGATTTTGTTACACAAACATGTGGTTCTTGTCAGAGGGCTGATGTCTGGCTAGGATTTTCAGGGTCATTAGTTTAACCCTAACTCCCCAGGCCTTTTTGCTGGGATGTAGCCTCAATCCTGCAAAATCCTCCAATTGGCCTCATGGAAAAATAGCATGTAGCCTCAATCCTGCAAATTCCTCCATTATTTCTTGAATATGTCCGTGGAGGGCTGACCACTGCCTGAATCCAGCAAAGTCCTGCGGCAGTGACTGTCAATATGTTGAGGCTTGGCCAGAGACATCCTGGAGCAGTGCGGAGGATTTCAAGTACAGTCTAGGCCTAAATGTATTCACGGCTGAACACAAACAACAAAAGACCTTGACACAGTGCATCCTCCAAAATCAGCCACACATCTTTGCCATATGGCCTCAATCCTGCAAAACCCTCCATTTTGCAAAGAGAGTTGGGAGGATTTGGGAAAGTTAGAGTACAAGGAGCACTCACATGGTTATTCGGCTATGTTTGAACGTGGAACTTATGAAATATGAATTAGTTGATTGAAAATGTCACAGTAATTAAACAAAATTAAGCAACTTGACCTTTATTGAGTGTTTAACAAATCTTTTCTCTGCTAGTGAAATTCTAACATAGCCTACCCAGGCTTGCCCTGTTTTCATCTTCCGAGTCTGGTTCCGAATCTTCTCCTCCATAGCTCACGAGCGAGGCAATGGCTGCAGTCGAATCAGTCTTAGTGAGACTCATAGTCCGAAATCAGTCTGTTGAGTGAAAAAAAAAGGAAAATAGTTTCAGGGTAATGGTTGCAGATGAAAAGTTAAGAAAGGCAGTGTATTCCCATTGTTATTCCTCCATGATTTTAGCCGGCTCCGGCTTTCTTTAAGAAAACCAAATTTTGCCAAGAGTTGGACTAGCTCTAGCTACTTCCAAAACTGTATGTAAGTTTTTACAATCTGTCGACTGAGGGCACTTTAATTCTCTTGACCAACTACAATGCGGTGTTCATTCCGAGAGTGTTTTTGTGCCTCGTGGGATGAAATGAAAGCCACGCTGTAGTTGGCCAAGAGAATTAAAACGCCCTCAGTCGAAGCAAATGATTAGAGACAGCCGAGTGCGAGACTCCTGTGATCCTGGTGAATGAAATTCTTGTAAATTTCATATTTTTGTTTGACATTTGAGGGATTTCAACCCACCCTAGCGGTACCTATCCACATCATGATTGTGAAATATTGAGGCCGAACATTTTTTTGACAGGAGAGTTTGGAGATTTGAAACAATTTGAGCATTTTCTGCTACAGCAACTTCTATTGGTCTTTCTTTAAGGATTGTAGGACTAAGGAGTAACTGCAGAATACCCCGCCACTCGGAAATACACCCCTAAATTCTATGGCTACAAAGTTGGAATCACTGGAAAAGAAACAATTCAAGTCCATTGCCAGCTACGCGGATACTGAGCGGGGGTCCCTTGAGAACGAAGCAACACAAAATGAATGGGAGTTGCTGACAAAATTGTAAGTCCAAACCAACTACCCTGTTGCCGGCTACGCAACAGGGTAGTTTCAGGCCCCTCGAAAAGGAAAATTAGCGTGTAAAAGTCAGAGTTTTTGGAAGTAGTTTTGGTACATTGATTTCTTAAGAAAATTACCCTCGGAATTTTATTGAAACTAAAAATTTTTGCATGACGTGAAGGAGAAATATTGTGCCAAAGATTGACCTCTCACTTCCGAGAACTTCCGTGTGGACTTGAAAAACTCGGTCACTCGCTCAAGCATGACAATTTTTAAAATTATTTTGGGGTGGTCATTGGGTAAAATCTTATATTAGGCCTAATACTTAAACAGGAGACTCAAATGGCTTTTGGGAAGGACAACTTTTCCAAATAAATTTGAAGGATTTATTTTCATTTACAAATAAATCACGAAAATGTTCGTTGATAAAACTGTATTAAAATGTGATCCAAACGAGCCTGAATAAATCTAGAATCCATCAGATGTACGCAGGTAAATCTTCGCGTCGTTATCATTTTCGTTCTCACGCAAGTATGTGATGTGAAAATAGACGTGATCCATAAGGGCGACTTTGGAACGAATATAGGTCGTAACTCGTAAGTAAAATTCGTTTTCCCCAATTCCAACTGATTTCTGATCTATTCTGAGGCAATCTTGTCGGTGTTTTTAATAACGAAGTGGCTATCGTTACGGCAGCCGTTGTTTAGCGCCTTCTACGATACTTTTTTGATACGCATGCAGGTATATAATTATTTGTTTCCCCACGTTTTAGCGAGCAGTGCGACAGCTCAGTTGATAGAGGGTAGGATTTTGCACCGCGAGGTTGCGGGTTCGCATCTCAGTTTTGCACTCGAATTTTTTTCCTTTTCTAACCCAAGGCTTTGGAGGATTTTTTTTAAAAGGGAAATAAAGTCCGAATTTCATAACGTTCAAATTCACTTTTTTCCTTCTAATTTTATATTTTCTTCTCATGTTTTTATAAGTTGCAGTCTACCGTAACGATAGACAATGGAAATGCGTTACGGCTGCCGTAACGATTGCCACTGCATTTTAATAAACAGATCTAATACTGTAACCCGCATAAAAGTATACACCAGTTGATACATGTTTGCTTTCTCAATTTAATGATTTCTATTCCTGTCCTTTCATCTTTGCCGTATCCCAATTTTTTGACTTGCCAGCCGGGCTACTTAACATGCTTAAGGAATAGTTTGACTAGCCCGCCGCAGTTTTGACTAGCATTTGGCTAGCGGGCTACTGCTAATTTTGAACACTGATACATGTAGCGCTGAGGTTTATTGAGGGCAATCAACCGTGACACTGTAGCCGGCTACGAGTACGACTACAACATGTACGAGGTGCAGCATAAATCAAGTGGCGGGGTAGGGCCTATTCTGCAATTGTGCCGGTTTGAAAAACCTTACAGTTACAGTTCTGGATTTAAGGCCTAGCATTTGACTAGGCCAGGTACATTCTTTTTGATTATTTAAAGGCAGTGGATATTTTGCCGGAGACGGCAAACCTTTAGTAAACGTTAGTTTGCCGGATATGCACTGAACATGCGCAGTTACTGTTTTTTTGTACTTAAACATTTTCCGGTGACAAATTTTAGTCTGGCTCCATGCCAAAATTATCGTTGTTACCTCGTATTCACAAGATGGGATTCAGACCATTTTATAATTTCGGACTTTATTTCCCTTTTAAAAAAAATCCTCCAGAGCCACAAATCTGAAAAAGAAAATGTAATACTCTGCAAAAAATGTTTGAGACATGTTAAAATAATAAAAGAAGAATATTCTTATTTATTTGGGGATGAGAAAAAAAACTTTAAAATGTGGTGCGGTCGGAATCGAACGCGAGTCATCCCGCTTACAGTCTTTGCTTAACCATTACACCAAACGTGCTCCACAACTTTTGGTGGGAATTTAATACATCTTATAATTCAGCCCTATTTTAACCCTTACCCTACTAGACCCTCCAACGCATGACAAAATGTGCCTCAAGAAAATCTCCTATGTTTTTTGCATGGCCCTCCAATATCTGCCATGTCATTTCAAGGGTAACTGGACAGGCACTCCAATACATGCCACAGAGAACAATGAGAGTCCTCTGATAACAAAGTGAGTGCCCCCAGCTGGTCAGTATCAGGCACCCTCCAGGGCCTCCAACTCCTGCCAATTGGAGCCTTCACTGTTAAGACAAACTATCTGCCAATAAACTGCAGCTGGAGGGCATTGGCATAACCAACTGACATGCAGTAAACTACCCTCAGAGAGTAGGTTAAAGAGTACAGCGCCCTCTGTAGTGTTGATATGGATTGCCGCCGGCAAACCTTTAGTAATCGTTAGTTTGCCGTCATTACCTCCGGCAAAATATCCACTATCTTTTGATTATTTAAAAAGTGAATTTAATATAATAAACTCTGAGATTGAGAACCAGGTATTTCATAGTCTGGTTCCCAAGAGCCAAAGATCCTGACATAAATGTCAGGAATGATGTCAGGGAGCCAGACGGTCAAACATTTTGTCAAAATCGACTGCCGGCGTAACGATAACCACTTGCTAAATGTTCGCGTGGTTGGTTAATTTACCTGTACTCATTTGTTGGAATCACAGCGTTGATGATGAAGAAGATGATGAGAAATGCTTGATCACTGAACGAACACTACGGCGAAAGTAAAACGTTCGTTCATGTCATTTCACACACGCTGTCTAATCGATAGCAGTAATTAGAATGGTTCCCGTCCCCTGATTTAATCATATTCCTCTTGAAATAAGCCAGGAACCAGTCGGTGTTGAAAATAATACGATGGCCCATACACGACACAGCAGTACAACTACTATATTCTTCTCTGCTAATAATATGGCTAGGGCGCCCTCTGTAGGCTAGTTTATCATTATGCCGTAATTGTAGCGAGCGCGCAAAGCACTTTTGACGAATCGATTTCAGATTTTACAAAATAGTACAAATATCACAATTATTGAGGGTACTTCTTTAGATAAAATCACTTTATTCTTATTTTACAAAGAAAATATTAATTTATTATAGGAGACTTTTGAAACATTGGTGGCAGCAGACTGGCTGTCCTTTTTTATTGTTGCGTTATTTCTGAACATGCGCACATTAGTTTAAACATGATGTAAACAATCGAAGAGGACATGGTGTGTATGCTGCCCTCAATCGCCCCAAAACGTCTCCCCAATCTTCGTTTTAACTTTGCTCACCTTGTGTTCAATGACCCCCCCCCCCAAAAAATAATCAATATTATTTACAAGCTGCATGTTCAAATATCAATTCGGTCTTTTTATATTGAAAAAAAAAAGCGAAATAAGAACTTCATTTACTTGTCAGTTTCGTCATAACCATCTTTTGATTATTTTTTTGGTTCGAGTTCGCTTATTTTGTACGTTTTTTTTTGTTTTACACGCAATTTGATTGAAAGATCAAGATCAGACGAAATAATCAATTTTCAAACAAATTCTTATAGTGGTACAAAAAGGCCTCCGTAAATCAAAGCTTTTGTAAACACAGGCTCCGTTTAAGATGTGCTTCATAATATCTTTTTTAAGACCCATGAGAAACACCGGCTCAATTTAGCTTTGTAGATCATTTTAGGAAAATATAAATGTTATAAAAAAAAACTAAACTTGGAAAAGTTACATTTGGATTGGAAATTTAGGACTGAAATATGACATTTTAGCCGGATTTGGAGGCAAAGCTGCAACTAAGTTTGGATTTGAAAACGACTGAATAATATTATGATAATGCACGTGTGTATAAAAAAAAGCTACGTACAGAATTTAGACACACAACTACAGGTGCGCCGGTCGTGCCAAATTTGCGACGCATTCATCATGATCACGATGTATTATTGAGGAAAAATAGCCTCTTCGCGATTGTAAAACGGCAGCTTGTTGCAGTAACCAGTTTACTTCGTCGTGAACTCACAAAGGTAGGCTCAAATTTAGATGGATTTTCGTCCTGTTTGCGAAGTTGTTTATTTTCATTGAGATGTCGATGCATGAACATGATGAATGTCAACTTCAATATGGCTTCCACGCTTGAGTGATAATCATATTGCCTTGGTCATTGGCGATTGTAAAGTAACGGGCCTTCTTTTAGAGTGTTTTTATCACTCAAAAATGACTGTAATATGAAACCTTAATCAACTTCTTTTAAATTTAATTTTGATACTCAGTCAGTGATAAAGGCCCTAGTCATGTTAGTCGAGTCATGATTGTCTTGTGATATTCGTTTTCCAAGTTCCGGATAGCAAGCATCATTCAGGCTGCTTTCGGCTCAACTACTCCACGAATTCAAGTGACATGGATTAAAAAGTTTATCTTCAGTGATGGACAGACCACGAAATAATTTTCAAAATTTAAGCTCTTTTTATTTTGATTTTATGACGTCAAAAGTACCGATGTCACTTTTCCTAGTTCCGGATCGGTTCAATCAGTTCCTAATCGATCAAAACTGCTTCACGCGAAAAAAAAAATCATGCGAGAAAATCTATTTTTTTTTCAGCCAGAACCAACCGAATCAAGCATATTTTTTTGATTAAGTACTATTTCATTTTCCAAAAATCATTCAAGAGAATTCCAGCAAATTTTTAAAAGAGAAAAAACTTAAATGATTTTTAAACTTTTGTCTGCAGCACAATGGCTCGAACTCATGCACCGACTGAAAATCTTTGATCCAGCACAGAAAACGTCACACAAAATTGATTAACGTGCGTGTAGTTGGGTCGCAAGTGCTCGTGCTATCCAGAACTAGGCAACAGCATACGAACATTCTTTGGCGAATTTTTAAAAATTAGAGACTTTACAACTTATTTTGATTCAACAAGCATTCGATGGAAGAGTTTATACGACTGTAGTGTAAGAAAAAAATATTCCAAATATCATGCTGTCTGTATGCTTGAACCATTGAAGTATGGTATCGTTCCTTTCACCCAATTTTGTTGGTGTCAGCCTTTATAAAAGTTGTTGGTGTTAACCATTTGGTAAAAAAAAATGGATAGCACGCTGTGTTTGTTTTATTTAAAGGAAATACATCTTTTACTTTTGCTGTAATTTTCAGAAATGGATGGAATTGGGGGGTTGGAATTATATAGCAAATATAGTTACACTGACTATTTTGAGGTTTTGGGTTCGAAAATGCTATAAAAACCAAGAAAAACAATCATTTTCCTGTAGTCTGGTTCCCTGACTCCATTTAAAAAGAAACAGAGCAGTTTACATATATATTGGGGAATTGTAAGGTCAGGGAACCAGTCTAGCTGGCTTGTACCCGTTCATAGGTGTGTAATCGATTGCAAACAAGTGCGATGGTCAACTGGGGCCAGTATTTGATAAAAAGCCAGTTTTTTCCAACGCTGATCGGCCGATCAGCGTTGGAAAAAACTGGCTTTTTATCAAATCGGCCGATCAGCGTTGGAAATTGATACAAAAATACCACTTTTCTTGAAAATGACAGTATACCAGGTGCCATGATTTTACAGGATGCTTTACACTGTCATTCACTAACAGTCCAGCAAGGTACATGTATTTCAAAATGATTTGGTAGTTTTATTTTTTGATGTTTGCAAATGTTGTATTTTCTCTTTAATTTTGTTTAACTTTCTTTTATGTACCTGCTTATTTATTTATTTATTTTTTGGGGTACTTTTTGGTATTTTACTCGGACTCGGACTCGGACTTAGGTTCTCGGACTCGGCCAAGTACTCGTCCTTGAATGTACTCGGACTCAGTGCTTTGGACTCGGACTCGTCACAGTGTACTTGGACTCGGCCCTGGTTTCGGTACTCAGCTTTGAGGACTTGACTCCAACACTGCTCTTACCCCCGGTTGAAAATACCCCAGTTTTACCCTATATTGAAAAAATTGGCAAAATATTTTGCAAATGATGTATTTCAAAACAAAAAAGTGCGGGCTGAAAAAAGAAGCAGGCTTAGACAAGAAACTATTTGTTTTTTTTACAAGTTTACATTGTAAATGTCTGAACTACAAACTATGGCCCATTGAACATTGTGCGTAAAGGTGTTTTTTTATTTTCAGGGCATTGTGGGATTTTGTGCGGACGAGCGATGTCGTTGGTAACCAGTCACATGGGTGGGTCCGGGCACAGACGAGGCAGCACGGTCAGTGAATACACACGGAACCGAACTGTTCACATTGGACGGACAACCAACTCGAAATGGCTTGTTCGAACAGGTATGTGAATTTTTGAGGGGGGGGGGGGGGGGGGGCCTGGGGGGGGGGGGAGGGTTCGCTAGACTAATTTGAATCAGAAGCTGGGGGGAGGGGGGGGGGGTCATATGTTTGACAGCTGTAGATGCTTTTGGGCTCTGGTCATTAAAATTTTATTTGGAAAAATGTCTCTTTAACTTCTAAGGCCCAAAAAAATAGGCCTAAGTCTCCGGTTTCTGGTATGGAGCTTGCCCAAAAAGTGGTGCAGCGACGCGGTTTTTTTTTTTTTTTACCTGTTCTTTTTGCTTCAAATGTGGGCTGATGACTGCAAAGGGTGCCAGACTAAATATAGTGCAAATATATGGGAGTCCAGAGAGGCCACATAAAGCATACTCGATCGTAACCCCATCTAATAATACGTTAAAATTGTGCAGCAGGATTCCAGTCAAACCAGTGAGTTTGGCGGTTTGGAGACATCATCTTGCATTGAAAAAAAAACCTTTTTCATTGTGCCGACGCGCATGGCTACGGCGACGCACGCATACCAGAAACCGGAGACTTTATTTTTTGGCCTAAAAGAATAAGGCTAGGCCTATTTCAAGCAAACTGTGAATTAGCTGTTTGGACTAATTTCAAAGCAAAATGGTTTTTCAAGAGAAGTATGTAGGCCTATGTATAATGGTCAAGTTGACGTGTCGTGTTGAATGGCAAAAAAAATTAAATAAAAAAAAAAGTGTGTTTCGTAACCATACTTCTGTACTTGGATTTTTTGCAGCCAAATTACCAACCTCAACATTTTTATTGTCAAATGTAAATTTTTTCAAATATTTTTTTTTTTAAACAAACAAATATTTTTTTTGCCATCATTTTTGTTTAAATGTGTTATTGGTTTCTTAAACAATTGACCTATCGCGTTAGAATCGCGTTAGAATCTTGCAATACAGCTTGTGAATTATTGTCCAATCACATGATATTCAAATTGACGCGGAATGCGCAACATCTGAAACAAACAAAACTAAGCGTACAAAAATTCCCTGGGGGTGTCTAAGGGGCGTGGCTAACTCGCAAACGGCGATAGGTCAATTAGTAAACATGATAAAGTTACAGGTACAATCCTTATTAAATGAACAAAGTAAGTATCAAAGATCGAGAAACAAACATAACAAAAAGTTACAAGATTAAGTCTCCTACATATCTACCTACCCGGATAATTAAAAGCCTTTGTGTCATCAACCTGTTATTTTCTGGGTTTTTGTTACTAGATGCGTGTATCAAAAAGTGACAAACTTATCATTGCCCAAACAGCAATTAAAAAAAAATGTATTTTTCGGGGTTGTGAGGTTTAGAAATCATCATTTTATCCTTGAGTTCATTTTCAAGGGCCCATGCACTTAAATTTTTTAATTCAATCCTTGAAAATGCACATTTGTGTCCCATTTAAGCTTATTTTCAATTTTCATTTTGTCTTTTTCAAGGGTATTTGGTGCCTTTTTTGTTGTGATGCTAATGCCAATTTCCATATTCATGAGCAAAGCTGTGATGTCATTTCGGGCAGAACACTGAAGCTCAATAATGCAGGCTTTGTTTCATCACAAAAAAAAATGCTAGAATTTTTTTCAATTCAGTTTTAGTTACAGAAAAGCATGCAAATGTTTTAAATTATTAAAAGAATTTTCAATAAAATTAATCAAAATGTGCCAATAATTAAAAACAAACAAACGACACGTGCTGTAAGTAGGCCTAACAATGCCAATGTGGGCATAAACAGACATGAATCATTAGGCCAAAAAAAAAAAAAGGCTCCGTTGACGTTTCTGGTATGTGCGCGACGCCATAGTCATGTGCGTCAGCAAAATTAAAAAGTTTTTTTTTCAATGTAAGATGTCTCAAAACTGCCAAACTCACCGGTTTGACTAGAATCCTGCTGCTGCACAATTTTAACATGTTTTTAGATGGGGTTATGATCGAGTATAAGCTTTATGTGGCCTTTCGAGGCTCCAATACATTTTGCACTAAATTTAGTCGGGCACCATTTGCAGTCATCAGCTGACATTTGAAGGGAAAAAAGTAAAAAAAGAAAAAAGCCGCGTTGCTGCACCACTTTTGGGGCAAGCTCCATACCAGAAACTGGAGACTATTTTCTGTTGTTCTTACTGCATTAGACTGAACACACTTTTAAAAAATTAAATTTTTCGCAATCTATAATTTTCCAGATTTAGATGATATATAGAAACTGCTTAAATAAACACAATTTTTTTGACCCAAAAATATTGACATTACGTGCCTCGTTCGCATTTGGCCTGTAGGCCTATGTGTGTATCATTGCACGTAATGTACATTAACACGGTCATGGGTAGTTGGAGATATTTACATCACACATTGTTTGCAGTTGTTGATGTGTACGCACTTTGCATTTTTGTGTTTGATACATGTCACGTACAGTTCACTTGGACACGATCATCTGTATTCATTGCATTTAAAAAATGTATGTACCATAGGTTTTGCATATAAAACATGTGTACATGTACATGTTTGAAATTGTTATGGCATTGGACATAGGGACGACTCATACGTAGACAATTTACACAGCTGCTACTGGCTGTATTTATAGATTGCATGTAAATGTCAAGGTGCAATATGGAAAGAGAAGCCATACAATCACAGCATGGGCTGGTGAACTTAGACGATTCGCCCTGGAATTTATGCAAATGAGCGCTGTGATATATTCCACCTTGTGGTCCAACTGGCTGGAGAAAAAAATAATCATGTTTGTGGTGCATTTATTGACAGAATTTAGCCAAATTGTTATTATTTTTTATTATTTAACGTGAGGCAGAAGAAAATTTAAAACAAAATTATGCAAATTTATGCAAATGACCAAAGTGATGAGTTGTGGTCTAACTGGCTAGATCTATTTTCATGTTTGTGGTGCTTTTATTTAAAACTTACCCCAGTTAAAAAAACAAAAAAACAAATTGTAAACACATTATGCAGAAGAAATATGCAAATTTATGGAAATTATTTGCTTGAAATATTTAACATATCCTCCGTGGCCTTGTACCGGTATATTCACAAATTTTAACCATTTTTGGGTGTAAACACATGAGAAATTTTGAAAGAATGCAAATTTATGCAAATGATCTGGGTGAGGTAACCATGGTAACTGTAGTCCTATTGCACCAATACATGAACAAACAAATTGTTAAATAATATTACACAATATAAAAAAAATAGTTGATGCTATGTCATCCAGAGATTTCAATACAAATTTTGCTGCAGAAACAAGTTGTTAAAATTTTGCAAGAGCATTTTATTGATCAAAAGGTCACGTCTCTATGTTTTGATGAAAAGTAAATGTTAGCTTGTAGATGAAGGTCAACATGTAGGCTACGGTAGACTGCGTATGGTATAGTGCTTTGTCAACTTTATTAATTTACTTGAATTATTAATTCTTCACTGTTGCCAAGAAGAGACACAATTTATGTAGTATAGGTTGATAAATAATCAAAATCGCAACAATTATTATTTTTCCCTGTTAAAACAATACATACACATGGAAAATTAAGTACAAGGAAAAAATGTATTTTTCTTGAAGAGCACAGGGCATGCATCTTTATGAGGATTATGATGAATTCTTGAGGATAAAAACCCAGACTAATTAATTGATCTTGTTGACTCCACAGTTGCAGAATTCTGCCAGCAGATTTCATTGCTGTACGAACACTTTGCCATCAATCTGCAGTCGCTGGTGGAATCCTTCAAAGAGCAAACGCTCAGCAAAGATGGGTAAGACAAACAACAACAAGCAAACAAACAACACAACAACCAACAAACAAACACCCCAGACGTCCACATGAATGTCTGCTAGAAGAACAGAAGATATGGCTTTTCTGCATTATGAAGTTTTATGAGTCTATGAGCTGTCTGGTAAAATTATCAATTTCATACACGAACAAAGTTCCATGGCTTATTAGTTGTGTCTTCAAGTCTAGTATATCTTTATAGGACTTTAAAATAGGCACCTTTAAGATGACATCACATGACCCATGATGACATCATCATGACGTCACGTCTATTTTCACCTATAAACGCCCCTGTTTACATGTACAAAGTTTTAACCTAATTGCACTTGCAGTTCTTTAGATAAAGGAGTTTAAAACAAAGCAGACTGACTGGCTGACTGACAGTCATTTGCTAACATTAAACGCCTGTTCAAAACGCGGAAGCGAATGCAAATTAGTGACCTCATAAATTTGCAAATGTTGAACACATTTCAACTCGGGCATATTTCGGAGCGAATGTTTCCTGACGTCAAGATTGCTTCGCATTCCTAGGAAGCAGCCTTTACACTGATCACAGCCTAGTGAAGAAAACCAGGCAGTGCTATTGTATAGGATTACCCCGTAATGCCAGTGAATAGGCTAAATTCAGCCCATCGTGCATCAGGTGCATGACAATTAAGACAAGTTCTTGGTAGAACTAAGCAGCACCCGATTTCACGAAGCGCTGCGACGCGTCGCAACTCGAGTTACGACGTGTAACACGTCGCAACTCGCGACACGTCGTATCTTCCATTTCACGAAAGTTGCGATGTGTTGAACGCGTCGTAAGTTTCTTGACAACGGCTTAAAACACGTCGCAAGTTAAGACGTGTCTAGTGGTCGTCGCAAAATAAGAAGAGTCATTTCTAAGCCAGTTTTATGCCATAAACATTACATTAACAAGATTATATTACTGAGGCAATGTGTGTAAAGTTGTAAATAGAAGATGCATTGAATAATTATGAATTAGACCGGAATATTAGAATTGAAATTTCAAAGTAGCTACATGTATACAGTCCAATGAGAGTTTGTTTTCCTTCAAAATTGCATCGCATGGCTGCCATTTTGTTTTACGTTTTAACAAATTTCGAGGTGAGATCCCACGACTCTTTGTTGAATATCAGAAGACTATTTACTGTACACTGACTAAATACATAAAACAGTCACCGTCGTAAGTGCGACGCGTCGTGGGTGTATTTATAATACACCCACGACGCGTCGCACTTACGACGTATTTTGTGAAATGGATCGTAGAGATACGACGCGTCGCATCGCTGCGATGCATCGTAAGTTACGAAGAGTTTGATGAAATCGGGTGCAGGACTGTTTTTATCGAATTTAAATGTACTAAGCGACAGTAGTTAATACCACATGGTGTTACCGCAAACCAAAAGTTTGTGTCTTGTCATTTGTTTTTCCTCCGAAAAAGCATCAACTTAAAATAAAGTGGTATTTTTTCTCTTCTATGATTGTCTTTTCCACAGCATGTCAGGACATCGTTGGTTTGTTGGGGCCTGGGAGAAGTTACTGGATCAGTATGCCGTCGTATCATCAGTAAGTTAGTCTCAGACGACTCTGACCAAATTTTATGTAATTTAATCTAAGCTGGATCTGCCGGTTGTTTTTTGACCACCCAAAAATGCATTGCTTTATTTATTCATCAGGGAGCATTGTGTACAGGCGAGTCAAAAAGAAAGTGACTAATTTTAATAATAAATTTGTTTTAAAATATATGGTTTCGTCTGTTTAATAAAAAATAACAAAGGAATAAAGTATGTTTGTCATTGACTTGTTACTGTGAACATGTCACGAAATTGGAAACTCTATTCCCCAGTCATGCCAGTTATGTATACTGCTATGTTTTACACCGCAAAATCCAGATGTCCACCACTGAGCATTTAATGATGCATTGATAAATACCTTTTAAATGCAATGAACCAGGGGGTTTGCCTACCGCCGTGAATGAATGAATTAACTTGCAAAGGAAAACTGACAAAAAACACCATCATCGTTGCAGAAAATAAATTAATCTAGGTCGTTTTCTTTTTGACTCACCCTGTAGTGCGTCTGTGTCCTATTTTGGCGATTCCAGCATTCTGAAAGGAATTGTTATGTTCGTGACAGAGCCAATTAACCATGATATGTAATTAATGATTCAGAGAAATGATCCAAAACTCCTAGTCTGTAATCTCCTTGACCATTACTAGATGATGGATGTATAAGATTCGAAAAATGCATTTTCAGGTTTATTCACTGAGCTCTTAAAAGCTATACAGACTTTCCCTTAAGCCTTGGAATTTGCCCCTATACCACTCAGCCAAAATATGGAACACGAATGCACTTCATTTTTTATGTTCCACGATTGCTAGTTTAATAAGTTTATTTTCAATCCAACTTTATATCAGCCTAGTAAAGATGGAACGCGTACACTGCGGTAATGTTTCAACTGTTAAACCACTATGCAGGAGTGAAACGTGTGCAAGTATAGCGCGCAACCAGCAGTGCAATATAGACTATTATCTTCAAGTAAACTTGAATCCTCGATCCTGATTGGTGGATCTATGGCAACAAGCCGTGCTACATATAACCATGTAGCACGGCCTCGGTCCATACCGCTCTCCGTGTATTACGCTTTTCTAAGATGCGAGGTGTGCGTGTTCCATCTTAACTGTGCGTCAAGTTTGCTTGAAGATAAATTTGTTATCACGCTCGCGCTCGTGGAACACAGAAAATGTAGTGCGTCTGTGTCCCACATGTCACTGGGCCTTTGGCCTCGTGGTATGTGGGACTCATGGTGGAGTGTCATGGCCTAGCGGTTAAGAACACCAGACTCATGTTCTGGTGTTTCAGAGGCAACAGTGACGTGGGTTCGAGCCAGCCGGCGGACACTTGTGCTCTTAAGCAAGGCACTTAACCATTATTGCTTCGTCCTTCGGATGGGACGTAAAGCCGTAGGTCCCATGTGTTGTGTAATCCAATGCACGTATAAGAACCCAGTGACACTTATCGCTACGAGAAGGGGTTTGCCCCGGTGTTTCTGGCCTCCTGTATAAACTCCCACGTGGAGTATTTAGGAGAATTAAGAACCAACCAAGAACACACTACAGCACTACATTACTCCGTGTTCCTCTCGCGCTCGCGGGATAACTTACATGTATATAGTATAAGCTTCGTGCGCGAGCAAGAGTGCATTTTTTTACCACTTTTCAAGAACATTGGAATGGGATGCAATGCTTGCGCGTATTAGTTCGTGTGCGTATGGCGCGAAGTATACTTTTATTCTGTTTGTGCATAGACCCATAGTGTCTTCGCATCAGCGTCAGGCGTCGTCGGTGATTCGTTCGAATGTCTCTCCCAGTGGTCTCCCCCAACTCTCCCTTTCTTACCGTTGAGGGGGTACTTGCGCACGGAGCCAACACAGTATAACACCATGCCATAGATCGACCAATCAGGATTGAGGATTCAAGTTTGCTTGAAGATAAAATGTAAAAATTGTAATTACATGTACAATTTAATACATCGGGTTAATAATTAAGCACATAATTTTGAACTTTTATAAACAGGACTATTTTGATCTGGCGCACAATCTCGAGTGCGGTGTGAGTAATTCGCTTCAAGAGGCTACGATTCACAAACACGCGGTACTTGACGACATCGTTCATTATCGCGACACGCTCCGCCAGGAGATGAAATCAAAGGACGCCAACCTTCTTAAGGTAACTGACGAAAAGCAGGAAGAGATGGGAAAAAGAAGAAGAAAAAATTAGCGTAAAATCCCAAACTCCCCCCCCCCCCATTAAGAACCTTAACCCTAACCGAACTCAACCCATCAAAGCCCAACAGCAGGTTTTGTTTAAATCTGTTGGGATAGGTACAGTTCCCCTAAACTGATGGTCTTTTACATTGGGTTTGGCATACCTCCAGAAACTAAGTCCAACAGTGTGTGTGTACAATTTCCTATGTGGGTGTTGGAATTTGCCTGAATGGGTACGATTCCTAGTAAATTATGCCGGGGAGTAAGGGTTAATGTAGGCAAGAGGAACAATAGAGTTAAGGCCCGTCTCAATTTGTATCTGAGATGATTTCCGGACAAGTTGCGGACATTGTATCAGGTACAAGTCGCAGAATTCTGAACAACTTCCCTGCAATCTTCCTGCAATGAAGTGATCAGTATTGGTGAGTCAAGCAGCTGCTGATGAAAATCTCCCCGGAACATGTCCGGGACAAATGCAGAGCTTCTTCTGGTCAAAGTGAATGATTCTACCTGCAACTTGTCTGGAACTCGTCCCGGATTTGAGTTGAGACCGGACCTTAAGTTGAACACAAAGGATTACATTAAACATTTCTAGTTCCTGGGCCCTTAAAGGCATATAGGATCATTTTATTTATTTATCCCAAAAGTTTGCTACAAAATTATTATCAAAAAGCTTACTTGGATTGAAGATCGAACCAGTACTAAACACCCCGTGAAATTATTCCGTCTGGCTTGCTGTCATTTAGAAGAAATCAAGAAATGTAGGTGATTTCCAATGATCAGTCAACTGATTTTTGATAAAAGAGTGCTATTGAAGAAATCAAGTTTAGTGATCAAAACGTTGTGCATGGTTTTAACTGTTTTCTCAAATAGTGTAATATCCACTGGGCTGAAACTTTAACAGGTTAGGTTTTGAGCATTCATCTGTGGATTTTGAGGTTCTTTTTTATTGAAAACAATCAAAAGGCGAGAAAGGCAAATGATTCTATGTGCCTTTAAGAGAAAAACATGGTTTTTCTAATAACGTGTGTTATTTATTAACAGACAGAGAAAGAATATTCGGAATCGTGGAAGAAAATGGAGCATGATGGTATAAACAACATTCAGGTATGTGAATAAATATCACAATCAATTACATTACCATATTTGCATATTCATGAATATCTGCGACAGTTTGCCTGTTCCTATTGGTCAAGAGCCCATCACTTGGGTGGTGTTAAACTGCCATTTAAACACATGGTTTTAAAACGGCAATGTTTATGACCGGTTGCGTTACCCTGTGTTTCATGTCACTAAAGCCCAGTTCATACTCGGCGCGAAAGCGAAAGTGAACGCGAATTTGTGACGTCGTGTCAAATATTTGCACTGCGAATTCGTAAAAGTTGAGCACATTTCAACTCGGGCGAATTTCGCAGCGAACGTTTCATGACGTCAAATTTTGCTTCGCATTCGCATTGGCGTGGAGTATGAAACGGGCTTTAGGCATAGTACATGCACCATGCTACAATTGAGTGTTTGATATTCATTGATGTGATTTATAAGCAAGGAGATGTCGAGCACATCGTGCACGCATTGCACACCATCTAGAAGTGGTCCAAACGTGCCGTAAATATCGTAGACAAAATCTTTGGAAGCCGACAACTTTTTAATTTTTTTTTAATGATTTTTCACTGAAAAGGCATTTATGAATGGGGAGATAGTGTAGGCAATTGTGTAGCTATGGACCCTGTTCCTATAAGAGAACAAAAAAACACTTTAAGATTATTGGATTTTCCAAACTAGTTGGCGACATTTAAAACCAACAGGCATGTCGTAGAGACCGGCAGGGTTTTGAATTTTTGAGGGAAATTATGGGGTAAAAGACGACGAAGACTACAAAATGCAACATGAAAATAAAGACAGCGATCACCATGACGCACAGTTAGTGCGCAAAATTGCGTTTGATTCGCATGGTACTAAACGAAATTGTTCAAAATTACAAAAATTGTGTCATTGGAATAATGAGAAGTCTGCTTTAGGTTTTGAAACAGTCATGTTGGAATGATAAAAGTATCTTTGAAATTAATTTGACGATTCGATTATGCGTTGATTTTTTATTTACGACAGAATCCAAACACTGCGGCGTGTTACAACAAGCACAACGGCTACATACTGGAGTTGGCGGGTCTCAACAAATTCAACGAAGGCGTTTGCGGCAACGTGTTACCATCGTTAAGCAAAGTGAGTTTTCAGTTCGCACGTATGTGGTCAGTTACGCAACGGGTTCCGTGCTCAAATACCCCCTCAACGGTAAGAAAGGGAGAGTTGGGGGAGAGATTTTCAAACGCATTGGCGACATTTCGTTGTGCGTACATCGCGTATTATACGCGCAAACCAGAATTAGCGCACACGGTGTGGCAGACTGAGGGTCCAATTAAGTAAATATACTCCCATACACACAGTGATAAGGCCAAAAAAAAAAAGTCTCCGGTTTCTGGTATGGAGCTTGCCCCAAAAGTGGTGCGGCGACGCGGCTTTTTTTTTTTTTACCTGTTTTTTTTTTTTTTTGGGCTTCAAATGTCGGCTGATGACTGCAAATGGTGCCCGACTAAACTTAGTGCAAATATATGGGAGTCCAGAGAGGCCACATAAAGCTTATTCTCGATCATAACCCCATCTAAAAACACGTTAAAATTGTGCAGCAGCAGGATTCCAGTCAAACCAGTGAGTTTGGCAGTTTTGAGACATCATCTTGTATTGAAAAAAAAACTTTTTCATTTTGCCGACGCACATGGCTACGGCGACGCGCGCGCATACCAGAAACCGGAGACTTTTTTGGGGGGGCCTAAATCCTCATACTTCAAAAATATTTTTAAAATACTCAAAACTCTCACAGGTGTTCAGGCTGTACGGACAAATGACAATCAATATGTCGTCTTTCATTTTCCTTTCAATTTTTGGTGGGTTGACCATTGAGTTTTTGGAGAAATTCTCACGAGGACCACCCCTAAAACGAATGATATTTCCCAAACTGGAAAAGCAGCCATTTTTAAAAAGATCCCTCCACAACATGGCTAAAAAGCGCCACTTTCAGACCCAATTGCATCTGAAATGCTCGGAATTGGAAGCCCCAAGTTCAGGCCAGAGGTTCATTGCCATATCTCTTCAATTCCCCAATTCCATGGCTCTCAGAACTCTCTAATATAGAATTGGATTGATAACAATTATTCTTGAGCTTGGTGGACGGATCTTTGGCTTATTTACTTGGTTTTTTCCAGGGGCTAGCTCTCAAAAGTGGTGCAATAGCGCCCTCTATGTACATGCACTGTCCTCATTAAAAAAATCTGTCAGAAATTATTTCATTTCTAGTGTCCCATGTTCTTGTGCACATACAGTTAAAAGGAGTTACAACATTTACTTTTGCTGTAATTTTCAGAAATGGATGGATTTGGGGGATAATATTTTATAGCAAATAATTATTGTTGCACTCACTTGTTTGATCATGTTCTTGTAGTCTGGTTCCCTGACCCAACTTTAATTGAAATGGAGCAATTTATAGACGTTGGGGAATTGTAAGGTCAGGGAACCAGTCTAGAAGGCTTGTTCCCCTTTGTATGTGTAGCGATTTCAAAATTCTGACAAAATATTGTAAATTGGGGGCAGTATTTGAAAAAAGCCAGTTTTTTTTCCAGCACTGGTCAGCCGAAATTGATACAAAAAATACCACATTTCTTGAAAATATCAGCACACCAGGTGCCATGATTTTACAGGATGCTTTAGACTGTCATTCACTAACAGTCCAGTACGGTCTTTCATAATAATTGTGTAGTTTTGATATTTGCAAATGTTGTATATTCCCTTTAACTTAGGATCACACGATGTTTCATTTGTTTTTTCTTTTGTTTTTTTTTCCGCATTCCCCCCCCCCCAAGGAAATTGAGAGAGTTCACGCCGAGATTGCGGAGTTGGTGATTCAAGGCATTATCAAACATGCGCAACTCACCAAATCTAAGGTAAGGATTCTACGATTTAATTTTTATCAGGACCGGGATATTTTGGGTCTCCCGTCAATTTCCTCAACTTTGGCAGAAACGTTGGTTGGCTAGTAATCTATAACATGATGTAATTTGGTTGTACTAGGGTAACCACAAGAGGGCGCTTTACCATATTTTTGCCCAGTTTCGGTCAAAAACAGTATTTTTGGCCCAATTTCTAGATACATGTTGGTCATTCAAATGATTTCAAATTTGGCAGAAACATTCTTGAGGTCAAATTTGAATCAATTTAACAATCTCTGGCATCTGAAGCTTTATAATACACTCTTATGACATTTTTTATGCGATTAATTTTTTAAAGCGCATTCAGATTTTTCTTTTGATGTAATGCGCTAGATAAGAATAATTATTATTATTATTATTAAGTAACCGCTAGAGGGCGCTTTACCTACATGTACATTTTGTGGCAAATTCGTTCTCTATCTTTTGTATTTGTCCCCAAATTTGATTGTTTTCTATCAGAATCTGCCCAATAATGCGGTAATATATATCGTAAATTGCAAGCCATTTTTTCAAGTGTTTGGTCTCGGTAAAGTGTACTGTTTTGGGTAAATTCATCATTTCTTGTGGTTTTGTCCCAGAAATTGAATCTTTTAAACCAAAATCTGCACAATAATGCTTTATAAATACTCCGCAAATATCAATTCAATAAGAGTATGTAAGTATTTCTTCAACATCTCATTAAACACCCACTTGTAAATTCCCGACATACATCCGCTTTGTAGGGCTGTGCCGAATATTCGGATATTCGGTTATTCGATCGATAAACGAATATTCGAATATTTATTTTCGAATAAGAATATTCGGTGGTGATATGCAATGAAATAAAAAGGTGGAAAAAACTTTTTTTTTAACAACAAAAGTGTATTCTCAAAGTTAAGTTTCAAGTTGCTGCCAAAAAAACCCATAAAAGTAGCTTGTATATATGCCAAGCAATAATGCCATACATATATTACTTCTGCTTTGGGAGTGCTTGCAGTAAAGCCAACCCATTTTTTTAACGCCGGACTGCAACACCAATCGCTGATGCTTCCGACAAGATAAACAAGATTTTGTCTTTCATGTCTTCACAAAACACTTCCTGACACCTTTTCATATCAAACTTCTAGCATGAGTTGTAACGTTTCCGTTGTCCGTATTTTTGTTTGTTGTTGTCCTACTTACAATCCCTACTTTCAAAAGAAAACCGCCGCTGTTTTTCCCCGATGCGATCCTGGCAAGTTTCTCCGCGCGTTGGTGTTACATGTACATGTGTGCAGCATAGGAAAATGCAGCGTGGCATTGGAGAGGAGCACGTGCTAATTTGCCCACGTGCGCAGTGGGAGGGGCTTTAATACTGGATCGGCTATTGACATCGCGAAAATGGCATGCCAACATCGATGTAGGAGACCTCTGCAATCTCATGCAAAGAACTTGATTTCTTTTTTTCTGTGTGGGCCTTTGTATTTTCCGTTTTCATGTACTTATTTTGAGGACGTACTGCTCGCACAGGGTCGCACAAGAAGCGGTACATTACACTGATACAGCGAAGCCAATTCCCCCCAAAGTTTTCCATCGCCTGTTCAATCGTGTCGAATGCACGTGGTTATAGGGAATCGCCATGCACGCAGTATGCTGCTCACAGCACATGGCGGTGTTGTAGAAAACTTGTCATGAACCCCAACATTACATTAAAACGTTTTGAAAACCTTGGTTCATTTACATTACGGACTCTGGGATTTTTCTGAAAGAATTTCTTGTTTACTTTTAGGGGTAAATTTACTATGGCTGTTAGTACAATGCCTCCGTAATTATATACATGTACATGTACAAAATAATCTAGTTCTCTCAACTGATCAGAGCACCCTTTTATCGAACACATTTCGTTCGCTGTCCGTCAGCTTTGTTCGCTGGGTTAGTCTGCTAATTGCACCCAATATTTGCACAAATAAAATATACATAAACACTTCAAAAACTAGTTCAGCAATTATACACTCAGTAATAATAGCGGGAAACTCTGGCTCATGTCCTCCAAGTCGAGCAAAACGCAAGAAAAAGGGCAGACAACAGAGAGGATTTCAAACTCAAAAGAGCTCTCATTTATTTCGCCAGACAGACTTTGCGGTCAACTCACCGCACCGTACCCCTGATTCCCAGCATAGAAAACCACAGCTAGACAAAATGTATCAAAATGTTGCAAGTTGGAATATCCAAACCTTTTAGTGGCCTATTTGTTAGAAAGTTATCTCCAGAGCACGCACTTAGCCAGACAAAAGAACCGGGTCAGCGCACCTGTGCCCTAATTAGCCCGCCAACAATGCGCCCGCCGGAGCTCGGCTGGCGATTTTTTTTTTTTTTGGCTGAAATGTCACCCTTCATGTTTTGGGTACACAGCTTATAATACATCCCCTGTGGGCAAACAAGGAAATACTGCTTTGCACGTGTCAAGCTGGGGCGTGTGTATGCCGCGCCCACGCCCATTATTTGCATAAACTTAAATATGCATTTACAATTCAAAGACCCATATTTCATTGAATAAAGACATTAAATATCATAGGTTTTTTTCTTGGAGTTTTTGGTTGTTGAGAATAAGTTTATTTAAAATGATATAAAATCATTTCCTCAATTCTTGGTGACAAAAGTGCGAGTTATTATTATAAAAGTGATTTTTTTATCCTCAATACTGTGACTAGGAAGTACACCATTTTGTAGACTTCAAGAAGCTTCCAGTAATAGATATGCTCGGTTCCTGTTTGCGAGTTAAGGGTCGGAGAGTCACAATAGCTGACGCCATCCGCCGTGTTTGGGGTTCACGGCTTAATACGTCCCCCATGCAAACAAGGAATCCTTCACTCTAGCTTCTTTGGTTATTGTTAATCTTTAAATTACTGACGACTGAAGAACAACTGATTGTTGTCAAATACCTGACTTACCTGTGAAGAAATCATGCATGGCATGCTGACGTGCGCACGTACGTTGACTACATGTACATGTATGGCATATTTTTGCTTTTGAGGGAATTTGGAATGGCCAAATAACCGAATATTCGAATATTCGATCGATTTGAAGGTCGAATATTCGAATATTCAATTATTCGAATTGACTCAGCCCTACCGCTTTGTCGTCTTTTGCCATCAATATTGTCTATGTGCAGTGACTTTTCATCATGATTATTTTTCGTAGCTGAACGCGCACGGTCAACATATGGACTGTATGATCAGTGCGATGCAAGGCATCGACACATCAGGAGAGGCCGTTTACTCATCATTTGAGCGAGAACCGAGACAGTATGGTTTTGTCAAACCTGATCAGAATGCAACGGGGGTAAGTCTTGACTTTGTCTACTTTGATCATGCGTCCACTGCTATTACATGGTTTGTGGCATTTTAATAATAATGTGTATTTATAAAACGCACCAGTATTTGTTACCAAATGCGCTACATCATTATTACCCTGCTCATTGGGCAGATGAAACATTCAAAAGACAATCTCAGCTCTCTGGGGAGTATACAGCTCCATGCTGCCACCACCTTGCAAAGCAGCTACAATCAATCACAATAACCATCTCTGCTCTCACAGGTACCTATTTACTCCTGGGTGGGGAGAAGCAATGAGTGACAAAGTGCCTTGCCCAAGGGCACACGCACCATGACCCCAGGCTGGACTCGAACCCACAACCTGCAGAATTACCTGCAGACCACGAATTCAATGCTCTGGACCACGAGGCCACGGCCCTATGAAGAGCGTCAGGCTGGTTCACGATTGCGAACTCAACACCATTAAACATTCACTGCATAATTTGCTTGAGTTGAAATGTGTCAAACGTGGGCAAATTCGCAGATCACAAACTTTGAATCACATTACAAATTTGCATTGGCGTTCACATTCCTGCGGAGTATTAACCAGTGTCCTATGAAATTCGGACTCCTATGATATCTGGTCTTTTTTACCTTATATTGATTCTTACCCTCGTCACTGCCCTATCTAATTAATTTCACTCAGGCATGCGCAATACAACCAAGGCGTCCGTATTTCATAGAGTGTAAATCTCACACTGCGCCAGTCTTAAGGGTACCATTCCACACGACCCACCCCTCAAATAAAAACAAACTGCAATCGTGTAACTTGTTACTTTTTGTGCGTTTAAAGGATCTTGCAGGGACCAAATTGGTAATGAATGCCGCAACAGAGAATGTCTTACGAGAGACACACAGCACTCTGCTTAGAGAGGTAAGAGTCAAATTCAGATATTGAAATTTTGTTTTAATTGGAAGTTACAAATTACATGGCTAATTGCCTTTCAAAAAAGGGCTAGAAATGTCAGAAAAACAGACGATGGACAAAAGGGTCTCTTACTCCTGCACCCTTAACCCTAACCGAACTCAACCCTTCAAAGTCCAACAGCAGGTGTTGTTTAAATCTGTTGGGATAGGTACAGTACCCCTAAACTGATGGTCTTTTACATTGGGTTTGGCATACCTCCAGAAACTAAGTCCAACAGTGTGTGTGTACAATTTCCCATGTGGGTATTGGAATTTGCCTGAATTGGTATGGTTCCTAGTAAATTAGGCTGGGGAGTTAGGGTTAAAGTACCTGAGCGGTTCGGTAGAGGTACTGCTTTACTTGACCTAATTTGAAAACATCCACTTTATGTTAGTTTGTCCCAAAGGGCCAGCCTTTAGACCTCTGTCTACCTGACAGACTGACTAACCGACTCACTGGCACTTATGAGCCGGGCAGTGCTGTTGTATAGGATTACCCGCAAAGTCAATCATTGGGCTAAACCCGACTTACTGTAGATTGGTGCATGAAAAGACTCTAGTGAATGGCCTTTTTTAATCAATTGGACAAAAACTTTGAGTGCTCAGGGATCAGCTTTAATGGACTGGCCCGCTCTGGTTTTGTTAAGTTCTGTGGTTCAATGTCAGAATTTGTTTTCAATTTTAAAATCCTATGTGAAGTGTTAATAGTATTAATTCACAGTGTCAACCATTTCAAATGCTATTATTTTATGTCAATTGTTTTCAGGCAAGTGAATTGGAGAAGAAAATCAGCGCAGAGAAAGAGATTGTGACAAAACTTACGAAGCAGCATGAAAGGTTTTGCTAATATTCCCACTTCCAACGTAAAATATACTCATATTGACTGGCAGTTTGGTCACTAGTACTCGTTATTGACTAGCAGTGAGGTCTCTAGTAGTTCATATTGACTGGCAGTGAGGTCACTGGTCCATATTGACTGGCTATGAGGTCACTAGTGGTCAATATTGACTGCCAATGAGGTCGCTAGTTTCCATATTGACTGGCAGTGAGGTCACTAATTCATATTGACCGGCTGTGAGGTCACTAGTAGTCCATATTGACTGGCAGTGAGGTAGTCCATATTGAGGTCACTGGTCCATATGGACTGGCTATGAGGTCACTAGTGGTCAATATTGACTGGCAGTGAGGTCGCTAGTTTTCCATATTGACTGGCAGTGAGGTCACTAATTCATATCGACTGGCTGTGAGTCATCACTAGTCCATTTTGACTGGCATTGAGGTCACTAGTCCATATTGACTGACTTTGAGGTCACTGGTAGTCCATTTTGACTGGCAGTGAGGTCACCAGTACCCCATGAATTGTCAATTCAATAGTCAATTGAATAGATTTCTATGTGCTCTGTGACCAGCTTTACTAATCTTTCTAGTCTTGAAAACTTTGTCAGCCCATAAATAATGATATCACTTCATTCAGCAGAAACATTGCAAATTAAGGAGTTTTTTCCCCTATCATTTTTTTGTCTCTCTCAGCATCAGAGCCAGCCAGCAGCATGCCAAGTCCGCCGAATGTCTGAAGAAGATCGTCAATCACAAATATGATTTGCAACGAAGTGAAGTATCTCTGGAGAGCAAGAAGGCACAGGTTTGGAGAAAATATTAGGCACCATCATCTCGTTAAATATACTGGAGAATTTGGGAAAACGTTCATCCGCAATTAACGGGCCTGTTGTATCAGGCAAAAGGTGCAGGATTTTGAGCAACTTCACCGAATCTTCTTGTGTGGAGTAATAGCATGATGTACAAACCAGTAACTTCAATGCGAGAAGATACCGGGAAAGTTGGTCAGAAACCTGCAATTAATACCCTTTGGAACTTCGGCGCTTCTACCCAAGAAACTTTGAGCACCTACCACATGCATGCCGTTTTCAAGCTAATGCGTGCACTTCTGCTTGGTGCGCTTCAAATTTCTTGGGTCACTGTGTCAAAGTTCTCCAGACTGGATAAGATCAATAGCGCCCTCTATGGCCATGATGGCTTGACTGCACAGGAATGGACTCTTTGGACTAACACTAGAGGGCGCTTTTCGACCACTTTTGAGTGCCCAATGGACGTACTGGTTTGCGTGCGTATAGCCCGAAGTATGCACGACTCCTTTTTATTCTGATGATGCACAAAATGCCATAGCATCTTCACTTAATAGGCGTCGGGCGCGTCAGCAATGCGTTCAAGTGTCTCTTCCAGTGGTCTCCCCCAACTCTCCCTTTCTTACCGTTGAGGGGGTACTTGTGCACGAAGCTCATTTGGATCGGCTAGTATGGCAACAAAATCCAAATGCAGTCTTGAACCGAAGCTAATTGCAACTTTCCCAATTCACCGTGTTTTTTAATTAGAATAAAATTTCTGTTTATTTTTTGGTACCAGCTACGACTGTTTACACCAGACATACTAAGCTGGAAGTTGAGTAACGGCCACGCAAGGATAACTGTCAACGATCCCCTAAAGCCGAAAGCTGACCAGTCTTTGATTTCTTCGGAGGCTAAGGATTCCTTCTCTGATTTGCTTGACAACGGAAAAAGAGTTCACTGTTTTCAGGATTATAACTTCAAGAAGCCGACGTTCTGTGACCACTGCCGGGGTTTACTGAAAGGTGAATCTTCAAAATTGTTATGCTGTGTCCATAGGCAAGCTAGTTTATCCCTAGTTTCCTGTCCTACTTTTTTTTTTAGCGTAATCAGAAAGAGTAGTGATAGTGTCAGGGTTTGTGACTTCAATCAAAGGGTCAGGGGTTTGAATCCTGCTGCTGGATATTTTATGTCCCTAGGCAAGCGACTTTACCCTAACTTATCAGTACCTGTCCTTGTCCAATTTTTTTAATGGTTAGGATTCAGGACTTATGATTATAGGGTCAGGGGTTCGAATCCTGCTGTTAGTGTATGTTGTGTCCATAGGCAAGCTACCTTACCACTACTTGCCGGTCCACACCCCCTTTTTTTATAAACCTAATCAGAAAGGGGAGTGAAGTGTAGTGATCAGGGTTTGTGACTCTTGATCAGAGGGTCAGGGGTTCGAATCCAGCTGCTTGTTGTTTTGTGTCCTTGGGCAAGCTGCTTTACCCCTACTTGCTTCTTTCCACCCTGGAGTAGTAGTCGGTACCAGAATTAACTGTGGAGTGTAAAATGTAATCAGAAAGGGGAATAAAGCTTAGTGGTCAGGGTTTATGACTCGTGATCAGAGGGCCAGGGGTTCAAATCCTGCTGCTGGTTACTTTGTGTCCCTAGGCAATCCACTTTACCCCTACTTTCTTCGTTCAACCTTGGAGTAGTAGTCGGTACCAGAATTAACTGTGGAGTGTAAAGTGTTATCAGAAAGGGGAATGAAGCGTAGCAGTCAGGGTTTGTGACTCGTGATCAGAGGGCCAGGGGTTCATCAAATCCTGCTGCTGGTTATATTGTGTCCCTCAGCAATCTACTTTACCCCTTCTTTAACCCATTTTTTTTAAAAACCATATTCAGAAAGGGGAGTGCAGTGTTTTTGGTCAGGGGTATTAATCATGCTGCATATCATTTTGTGTTTCTAGGCAAGCTATTTTACCAAAACCGCTATATACACCCGCAAAATGCAAACTTTAAACTAGAAGGAAAAGTTGAGTGATTATCTCTTTCTTTTTTTGCATTATAGGAATTTTAAAGCAAGGTCTCCGATGTAAACTTTGCAAAACAAACGTCCACCATAAATGCCAGGACGGCGTACCGGAGTGCAGAGGAGGTGTGGTAAGTCTAAATCACCTTCATTGTTTTAAGGCTTTTAAACAACGCACTTTTTCTTGGTTTGATCGGGAGTTTACCCATTCCTATAGGTCGAAAGCCCGTCACATGGGATGTTTTAAACCGCTGGTATCTGCTCCATATTGCACAATACGCACCGGGTGAGCGCCAATCTCCATATAAGGAGATTTTTAGTGCCATGCGCACAAGGCACATACCATACCATAAACTTGAAGTAAACTTGTTGAACATAATCGTTGGAGTTTTGTCAATTTGTGACTTATTTAGACCTTTTGACCGAACTATGAATGGAAAAAAATATGTGCTTGGCTGGTTTGAAACAAATACTTTTAAAAAAAGCTCAGGGACTGGTCACTGATAATGCCCCTCGCCTTAGGCTTAGACCATTTTCGGCAACCAGGCCCATAGCCGGTTTTAAATGTACGTACTTGTTTAAAATAAGCCCAGCACACATTTTTTGTGCTAAAGCTTTTAAAGAGGTTGTGGAATGCTCAAAGACATTTCCGTCATTTTTCGGGTATATCCGAAGGTGTGATGAAATAAAAATGACTATTGTGTCTGTCATGAAAGGAGTACAACAGGTACTTTTGAGAGCTGTTTTTCAGGTCCTGTTTCGACCCGAGCGTGCAATTTGTGTAAAAGTCGTCGTTGGGGGCAGCAAACAAACCATAGTAAATCGTGACGTAATAAACAGGACTCGTTTATACTACGCTGCATTGGGCTGCACTTTTACACAAATTGCATGTTCGGGTCAAAACAGGACCTGAAAAACAGCTCTCAAAAGTACCTTTTGTACTCATTTCACGACAGACACAATAGTCGTTTTTATTTCATCACACCTTAGGCTACATATACCCGACAAATGACGGAAATGTCTTTTAGCATTCCACAACCTCTTTAACAAAATTCTCATTTTATTCACATTTTCATCTCATGTAGGAAAAGCCCAACAAGGTTTTCCGTCGGCAGGCAAGCGTTCGTGACATCAAACCGCTGGTACGTGTTTCCATCATATTTGTGAAAATTAAGGTTAATACACAGATCAGTTAAATACCGCTTTGATAATGAATCTCGTAGGTTCGGACATTTGTGCGTGGCTTTTGAATCTTCAAAGAGCCAGTAGCAGAAAATCCGTCACGTGACCTCGACACATCAACCAATGAAGTGCCATGGCCTCGTGGTCTGGAGCATTGAATTTGTGGTCTGCAGGTAATTCTGCAGGTTATGGGTTCGAGTCCAGCCAGGGGTCATGGTGCGTGTGCCCTTCGGCAAGGCACTTTGTCACTCATTGCTTCTCCCCACACACTAGTAAATGGGTACCTGTGAGGGCAGATCAAGAGATGGTTATTGTGGTTGATTTAGCTGCTTTGTGCGGAAATGGCAGCATTGAGCTGTATACTCCCCAGGGAGCTGAAATGGTATTTGGAATGTTTTATTGGCCCAATGAGCAGGGCAATAATGATGTAGCGCCTTGAGCACTAATAATGGTGGATATGTGCCATTTATAAATAAACATTATTATCAATGTGCATTGTTATCGACTTACATGTATGTACTGTTTGGCCTTTTGACATGATCATGACTTTTTTGGGTCAAATTCTTTGTATTTAACGCAAGGGGCACAAGCCCTATGTAATGTAAAATACTTGCTTGTTGTTTCAAGGTTGACAAGAAGAAGCTTCTTCGTCGCCAGAAAAGTTCTTCCGAACTAGAGATTCCGAGACAATGCGACACCAGTGAGTATACCCTTTCCTTACCATGGGCGACTTTTGTCGACAAGGAAGTATACCCCCCTGCTGGTTCCCATGGGCGACTCTAGTCGACCAGGAAACCACACATAGAACACCCTCAACACACATATATTCACTACTTTTCAGAAAGGCGGCATGTTGATATGTTTGGCCGCCCATACATCAACCATATACCAGGTGAAAGAGTGTTTTCGGATCGTTCTAATGGTGCAGTTTATTCACAGTGTTACCATTACAAACATTTAAGAAAAGTGCTTCAGAAGTATCCACGCACAATTCTGAGGTATGGAGTGCCATTTGGTCATGTGGTGAAATGGCTTGCAGTTTAATAAATGAAACCAGATGAACAAACAGGTTGCTTCAAACTAACATAATGCACAAATTACAAATGATCTATCCTACCTGTAAGGCAATTAAGTTTACATGTGACAGCGAAAGTAGATTTTTCCATTCCACCACGTTATCACTATAGCTTATTCAATAAACTGTTGAAGCTGTAGTCCATCATTTGCAGCTATCCAAAAAATAACTGGCGTAATTATTGTTGAAAAACATACTTGGTTGAAAAAACTTGATAGATAGTAAGGGGACTAAACTCCCTGTGAAATTATTCTTTCTGGCAAGCTGTCGTTTTGAAGTAATCAACGAAAGAAGGCTTTTCCAACAGTGCTTCTTTAGATGCACCGTAGGAAATTTAAATTAGAAGTTCGTTTTTTTTTTCCGGCGAAGCGCGCACAAGCATTGGCGTGACGCACACGCGCGCGGTTGCTATAATTCATCAAATCAGTGTGTGACATCGCGTAGCTGCAATCGGCTCAGTGAGAACGTGTCTCAGACGCTGTATTCAAGTCCAATTCAAAACATGATTCAGCAACTTTTGATTGAAAATTGAGATCCTAGAATGCTGTTTTTATTGGAATATACAGCTGAAGCTGAGCTGAAACTTCATCAGGTTAGTTGTTCAGTACCCTTCTTTAGATTTTGAGCCCTTTTGTTGCTTTAAACATACAAAATGCACAAATTACAAATGATGGACTATATCTTTAAGCTGTTCTGAATCAGTTGAATAGAATTTAAGGCACTCTAGTTACCAGCCAACTTCACATGCCTTTTGTTGTCGTTCGTTAGATGTAGAAGAAGTCGATCCCATCTATGAGGCCATCAAGTGTGCAGCGAGCCTATCTAGCGGTGCGTCCGTAGACACCTCACCTCGTCAAAGTCTGGTACCTTGCACCCCATCAGTGACTAGCACTCAACAGTCAGGTTCTTCTCTCAGCGGCTCTAGCGGGAGTACCAGTTCACTGGTCCCAGAGGGACGCGATCCTGATAAGTCCAAATCAGCTCCTCACAGGTAAAATAATGTTAGTTAGTGAAAAGTGGCTTGCTCAAGGACACATGGTTGGGCCAGATTCGAACTCCCAACTCACCGATCATAAGTCACAAACCTAAACTACTTAGTGCCATTCCAAACTAACACCTGTACCATTTATCATGGGTGGTGAATTACAAAGTTGGGTAAAATGGCTTGCCCAAGGACATTACATATGGCCAGCAGGAGGGTTCGAACCCTGACCTCTTGTCATGAGTCACAAATCCTAACCACTACTCGACATACCCAACTTATGCCTGTACCCATTACTTATGGATAGAGAAAGGCAAATTATGGTAAAGTCTATTGCTCAAGGACGCAAGATATGGCCAGCATCAGGATTCGAACCCGGACCCTCAAATCATGAGATGGTGTTGTCCGAATGGCATTCGCAACACAAACACAATCCTTTTTTTTCATATTCCACAAGCGCGAGTATGATAATGAATTTGTCTTCCAGCAAACTTGACAAACAGCAAAGATGGAACACACATGTTGTACACAAACTTTTCAGCGGTTATCCTATTATACGAACGTGCAGTAGGAATAACGCGCATATCTTAGAACGTGGAGTTGTTGCCATGGATCGACCAATCAGGACCCAGGATTCAAATTTGCTTGAAGACAAAGAAGAATTGTAAAGTACACTCTTGAATAATGATAAATTTGCTGATATATTTGTACATTTTTTTCTATGAAATGTCTAATTTTTGCAGTCCGAGTACAGCATCAACGCGACGCAAAATACTGGAGACTTACGGCAAGAGCATGTCATTGGATACCGAATCTTGTAAGTTATTCACCATGTGATAGATACAGGTTCTATGTGCGCCAACAAAAGAGGGCGCTCTTTTTCCAATATTGAGAGCCCTGTGGACGGGACACAGTGTGTGCCAACCTTGTCCCCAGTGCTTCCTTTATTTCCAACCTCGTTTCCAATTGTAAACCCTGGATAGGAAACTTTCTTCCTGTATCCTGATTCGATACCGCAATTTGCTAATAATGGATTTATATCGTGTAGTTGGTGGTGTTATTTCCAACGTGCATTATGTGGTTTCACGATTATTGTAATTATAATGTCCACGTCTTCTCAATAATACTCCTGTTCTTTCCAGTTTGCTCATGTAAATACGAAATGTGATACTGCATAGTGGGGGGCCAGATTGTAACATTTTAACTTCCAAAAAAATTGCGTTGTCCTTGCTCCATGATAGTGGGAAAGTTTTGTTATTTAAATTCAGTATCGTTTCAGTATGCGGTAACACCATGTGGTAATAACTGCTGCTCAGCCTAACAAAGACTATAGCAGGCAAGTCGAAACGTTGAGATCAAAGACAATTCTTTTAGAACTTAAAGCAGGACTGTTCTTATCGGAACTAAAACTACGTAGCGAAAGTTGATAATAAGCAGGACAAGTTCTTTTCAGAACTAAATAGCTGCTGCGCAGTAGTTAATACCACATGGTGTTACCGCAAACCGAAAGATACTCCACCATGTAAAGCCTAAAATCTTACATTTAACTTCAGGTGCAATGATGGTATAAAGTACTTAATGAGGTGTATCAAACAGGAACTAAGCCTGCCCACTGTCATGGGGCAATGTGCAAAGGGTCAATATACAGTAAACTCTGGCTAAATTGACATTGTACAACTCGTCAAATCGCTCAAGTCGGCCGTCTGACTAAAGTCCCGATTGTCTGTAATGCATTTCCATTGAATTTTATATTTCTAAGTCAGCTTTTGTAAGTCGCCATTTTGCTCAAGTTGTCGTGTTACTCTGGGTCCCCTTTCCATAAAAAGCATTACAAAATCCTTTGTGTAAGTCGGCATTCAACAAAGCACGCATTGGCATCGACTTCCTGTACTGCGGTTGGCAAAGTGTCGAGTAAAAAGTGGTTTCGCACGGCCCGTGATCGTTGTCGAAAAAGGGTGTCCTACTGCATACCACTATGCGGCGCTATAGGATCTTTGCTGTATACATCGCATGCATCGTGAGTATATCAATACCAGTACCCCCTCTAGGCTGTACGCATGCACTCTGTCTATTTTGGGGGTCGTCTTATTGAATGACTACTGCTGCAGTCAATATGTGCGTGGTATATACCGGACCATGCACGCATTTAATTTGTTACTGTGCACGTACATACATGTATGTATCGTGGTCTCCATTATCAATACCCCAAATGGGATGATACAAATTGAGGATTAATTTGCTGGATTCAACTCAAGCATAAAGGAGATAATCCAGGATAAATCGAAGCCAATTAGTGCAATGGATCATGTGTGCAAAAGACCATTCATGTAAGTCTGCAAAATAACAACTTACAGCAGATATCTGCATTCGCGTAAGTCGTCACAGATTCTCGGGTCCCGAGAGTGCCAGTTTAGCCAGAATTTACTGTACAATAGAATATGTGCAATAGAGTTCAGCGGATTAAACACTGTCCAATTATTTTCTCTGTAGCGTATCGACAGCAACACATGCATGGCAGAACCAGTGAGCCGTCAATGAGGGTAAGTCTTCAAAGTCCAGTTGTGAAAGAATTTTTTTTGTTTTTGGCATCATTTCAGTTGCATGTTCTTCAGTTTATGTAGCCATTTTCTTTATTTTGTTGGAAGAATTCAAAGCTGACTTTTTATCACACGCTTTGCATGCTTGCCTGCATCAGCCGTATGGGAGATTCTCACCCGTGCATCCTTTAGTAGGCTGCGTGAGTCGTCGAGTAGTTAGGCCGCGAGGGCGTGGTCGCGTTTCGTTTGCTGACCAGGTGTAGTAGTATATGTGGTGTTGCGCTAGCCCTGTTCTGTGTGATGTGGTGCATGCTTAATGTCTTTCAATATGATTGTCGATAACCTATTCCTATCGGCTCTGTGCCCCAACAAGAGAGGGCGCTTTTAACACTTGTTTAACCTATTCCTATCTGCTCTGTGCTCCAACTAGAGAGGGCGCTTTTAACACTTTCGAAAGCCCTGTAGCATGTAGCGCGAATTATGCGCAACTAATTTTATTGTGATTGTGCACAAAGCCATATCGTCTTTGCGCGTCGTCAGTGCGTTTGAATGTCTCTCGTAGTGGTCTTCCCCAACTCTCCCTTTCGTACCGTTGAGGGGGTACTTGTGCACGGAGCCCATTGGTCAAGAGACCGTCACGTTCAGGGTGATTTTAAACATCAATTCATAACAACGTTTACCCATTCCTGTTGGTGGAGAGCCCGTCACGATGGTGGTCTTAAACTTCTGGTTAAACACCAATCAGCGATGATTGAAATCAGTCGCAAAACACTGCATGTAATGTTTCAAACCGGTTAGGGGCTGGTCACCAATAGCCATCGCTTTTTATTCAAGCCGTTACCGGCAACCAGGCCCTTATAGGTTTTTAACTACACACGTGTAATTGCTCTATCACACTATTATCCCCTTCATTTTTTGTTGTGTCAGTTATTGTTAACGAATTAACAAAAATTGACAAAACTTTTCAATCTCCTCCTTCAGAATGTGTACAATGATAACCCAGCGTTTCATTTTAGAGTCATGTAGGTTTTTTTAGTGTGGTACCACTAACAACCTGATTTGTGATTGCCTGTTGCATGGTTGGGAGTCCAAGAGCTAACCTTTGGGTACCGCTACTCGAATCCTTTGACATTCTTGGAGATTGGTTGCGTGTTGCATGCCCCACACATAGCAACCTGTAGTTCTTGGAAGTGATACATCATTAACCAATGAACAATTGCTTTTGGCTCATGAATATGCAAAAGCAGCAACTAATTGGCATGTTACGGGACGAGTTCTGGACAAGTTGTGGGTAGAATCATTCACTTAGTCCAAAAGGAAGCTCTGCATTTGTCCTGGACATGTTCCAGGGACATTTTTCATAACTGCTTGACTCATCCATACTGATCACTTCATTGCAGGAAGATTGCGGGAAAGTTGTTTAGAATCCTGCAACTGATACCCGATACAATGTCCGCAACTTGTCAGGAACTTGTCCCTGATATGAATTGCGAGAGGTTCTATTAAAGTGATTAATTCTAAGCCTTTGTTTTTGTACGTGTCACAGTCGTCTAGTCCGGCCTCCAGCGATCACGACTTTGTAGCGCTGTATAACTTTGAAGGCATGATGAGAGATGATCTTTCACTCAGGTAATTTTTTGTAACATATACAAAATCGTTTTTAACATCCTAACAAATAGGTAAAAAAAAAGTTCCTGAATTGTTTGTCTTTTTTAACAAAGCCAAATCTGTATAGACCGATGTGAATAAAAGCTGAATAATACAAGTTTACTCAATACTACAACTCAAAATTACATTTTATCATCGTTAATGTTTAGGTTTGTATAAAGTTTATACATTTTTTACAAGCCCCCCCCCCCCCTTAGTCAACAATATTGCCTTTTGCAACTGGACATGCGCACAAGTTTTGCTCCGAGAATCCAGATTAAAAAAGCATATTGTCAAAAAATGAAGAAAGAAAAGTTCTTGAGAACAAAATGTCAAAAGAAAATTGGACAGTACTGTGTTTTACAGTATTTATAGTCTCAACCAGTGTGAAGTTTGTTTCCAGAATTATAAAATCTTAAATGTCAGATGTAACAGCGACAGGAAAAAACTGGACCCACAATTTTTAGGTTGACGACCCTTATCATCATAAGGACATTCTGAAATTGAGCTCAATATTTGGTGTTAATTTAAATTTTTGCTATTTTTTTTTCTAGAGCCGGTGACCGAGTGCATATGATCGATAAGAGGAGTACAGAATGGTGGAAAGTAAGTTTCAATTTTCATATTAATTATTTAGGTTTGTTCATTTCAAATTGGAATAGTTGGATAATGTCTTGATTGAAGACGTTAGAAACTTTAATGTTTTTGTGCCATTCTTTTATCAGGGGGAGTTGCATGGCGAGTGTGGTTTCTTTCCGTCGTTTTGTGTGACATCATTGAAACCGTGGGAACAGGTCGTCAAGGTGACGCGTACTTACAAGGTTTCGCAAGACGTCAAAGATGGAATGACTCTCAAGAAAGATCAGGTTAGTCCATCAGAAGTCAGTCACATGTCAATCACAAGGCGATCACAAGTCTATCACAAGTCAGTCACAAGTCTATCACAAGTCAATCACAAGTCAATCACAAGTCAATCACATGTCAATCACAAGTCAATCACAAGTCAATCACAAGTCCATCACAAGTCAATCACAAGTCCATCACAAGTCCATCACAAGTCAATCACAAGTCAATCACATGTCAATCACAAGTCCATCACAAGTCCATCACAAGTCAATCACAAGTCCATCACATGTCAATCACAAGTCAATCACAAGTCCATCACAAGTCAATCACAAGTCCATCACGTGTCAATCACAAGTCAATCACAAGTCCATCACAAGTCAATCACAAGTCCATCACAAGTCCATCGCAAGTCCATCACAAGTCCATCACAAGTCAATCACAAGTCCATCACAAGGCAGTCACAAGTCCATCACAAGTCAATCCCAAGTCAATCACAAGTCCATCACAAGTCCATCGCAAGTCCATCACAAGTCAATCACAAGTCAATCACTAGTTCATCACAAGTCCATGACAAGTCAATCACAAGTCTATTCCTCATCAGAAGTCTATTCCTCTATTCCCCTTATGCTGTATTTGTGACTTTTCTTTTTTTCTTTGTTTTATTCGACAGGTTGTGATCCAGACTTCTAAAGAAGAAGGCGGTTGGGTCCACGTTTGTAACCGAAAGCAGAATGGCGTGTTCCCATCGAAATATCTGCAACCGATCTAAAGAACCTTACCACACTGCATGTCTGCGTTCTTGTATTGGGTCTTATTCCTGAGCGCACGAGGGCACTCTGAAGACGCCATTTTAAGGTATGATCAGTCGTGAATTCAAGGTTATAGATGTAAGTTTCGAAATTAAATCAAAGTTACTTGTGATTAGTCTGTTTGTGAACTATGCCAGTCTGCCGATTTGTCCTACGTGGAGAATGCACAATCACAATTTGGACTCCATGCATGGACTCTAGAGGGCGCTTTGCGACCATTCTTCGCAAGCCAAAATGAAAGGAATGTCCTCTGCATATTGCTTTGTTTGCAACGTACGCACAACTAATTTTATTCTGAGTATTCACAAAGCCATCTTCGCGTCGTCAGGCGTCGTCAGCAATGCGTTGGAATGTCTCTCCCAGTGGTCTCCCCCAACTCTCCCTTTCTTGCCGTTGAGGGGGTACTTGTGCACGGAGCCATACGCATTCTTTGAAATTAGGTTGAACATAATGTCATGTGAATATTTCCTACCTCACAATTAGCAAGCCATCTGTACAATATACCAACCAAATTTTAAGCTGTGTTACTTGACCGTGGCTACGGTAACACACACATGCCAAATTTGGACAAGGTCCTCGTTATCAAATAAAGTCTGACATCATAACATGAAAGGTGGAATTATAGAATAATTGAAAATTATAGAATTTATTTATTGATTGATTATGATATATACTTTGTACTTTGTATTATACTGTTTCCAAGCGATAAGAGTATTGATTTTTGCCATGTGTTAGTTTTAATCGGCTTTGTGCAATCTGTGTTTGAAATGTTTCAGTATTCTGTTGATAATTTACAAGATAAGTTTTTTGACGTGTAATTCATTGGAAAGCTCAGTATTATTGCCAGGTTGGCTCCATTTAATGGCCCTCTCAAAGGCATTGTATTATTTAACACATACGCAAATTTGAAGTAAATCAGATGTGTCAAGAAATTTGCAGCAGTGAAATGTGCTCAAAAGTGACGTCAGAAATTTGTATTCACATTTGCTTTTTGGTTTGAAAACCTTTTTGCTACCGGTAACTGTACCAGAGAAAGAATGCGTTCCTTTACTTCTCTTGCGCTTAACCGTACTTTCATCTTGAGTGTAGATGCACATGAACAATCTGTGCTAAGCAATAAACGAACGATCTTGGGTTATTTGAGGTCATGAGGCGATTGAATCCCTTCGCAAATGCATTAAATGTACCGGTATAGTCCATCATTTGTAATGTGTGCAATTGTTCATTTGAAGCAACAAAAGTGCTCACGATCTAAAGAAGGGTACTGAACAACTTACCTGATGAAGTTTCAGCTCAGCTTTAGCTGTATATTTCAAGAAAAACAACATTCTAGGCTCAGTGAGATCATGTCTCGAACCCTGAATTCAGGCCCAATTTAAAACATGATTCAGCAACTTTTGATTTTAAATCAAGATCCTAGAATGCTGTTTTTCTGGGAATGTACTGCTGAAGCTTAGCTGAAACTTCATCAGGTTAGTTGTTCAGCATTCTTCCTTAGATTTTGAGCACGTTTGTTGCCTTTAGGAACGAAATGCACAAATTAGAAAAAAATTGGACTGTACCTTTAAGTGTGAGAAGTCACATGACAGATAGATTTAATGCATTCGCGCTTGAACGAGTAAGCGTGGAGAAGTAATAGATCGCGTTCGTGTCCTCTGTGAAATGGATGGATGTGCGCAGTGGTGCATATGGCTTGTGCGTAAAATGTGTAGTACGCACAATTAAGCGTGTCTCCACATGAGCGCCAGACACAGCGGAAATGCATTCAAGTCCCTCCCAACTCTCTCTCTGTAACCAAGCGAGGGGGTATTGTGCACAATGTCTATTACGATATTCAAATCTCTACGAAGACACTGAAAAAAAATTTGTTGTATATAATTGATAATTACTATTTTGAACAGTACAGTCAAATGCGTACCTCAAAACTTGTATATGAACTATACCATATGTATTATTTATTGCACTTTAACAGATATATCGTGAATTCTTGCCAAGGTGTACATATTTATTTAGTGTGTGAACGTGCAGATTTTTTCCCATTGATTTATTGATTTAATTTGATTTCGATTCTCTCTGGTATTGAAATCAAGAGAGTATGTCAGAAGTTTACAGGCATGTGGCTTGCATGTGGGTAGGGCCTCTCAATGGTCTTGACCAGGGTGATTTTACCCATGTTCACCGCCGGACAAGTGTCGTTTTGACTTGCAAGTACATGAAAGGGTTTCCTGAAATTGTGAAATGACCTGTTCTGATTCCTGGCTTCTGAGCGCCACCAATATTTTTGATTTATTGGAGATGGATATGCAAAGTATCCTTCAGATAGAGGGTTGCATGAAATGTTTAAGACAAGAACGCTGTTAGGCAGTAGGTTAATCCTCAGCCTCCCAGATGCTTCATAATCCAACAGGATTTTGTAGGAATTTGTAGAATTGTGGAAGAGAGTGCCTAACCACTATTAGTTTACATGGGGCTTGGTGCCACTTGAAACTTGGTAGTTACAAAGATGGTGCCATAGGGTTCCTGCACAGTCGAGGGTTTTTGAGGTGGTTGCAGGATTTTGCAGGATTGAAGGGCCCAGCTACAATTACCTTGTTATGTGAGGCTTAATATGCACCACTTGAAAATTGGTAGGTACAAAGAGTGTATGTGCCATGGGGTTCCTGCAGATGTGGAGGGTTTTTGAGGCATATGGAGGATTTTGCAGGATTGAGGAAGGTAGAGCCCATATACTATCAGGGTAGCATATGTGGGGCTTAATTAGCACCACTTTAAACTTGGTAGGTACAAAGATGGGGCCATTGGGTTCCTGCAGATGTGGAGGGTTTTTAAGTTTTGTAAGATTTTGTAGGATTGAGGGATAAAGATACTGCCAAACAACTACAAATTAAGCTTACATGTACATGAGCTTGATGCTCCTTGGAACTTGGTAGGTACAAAGAGTGTGCCATTGGGTTCCTGCAGATGTGCAGGTTTTTTGTGGTATGTAGGATTTTGTAGGATTGAGGCATTAAGATACTGCCAAACCACTACTAATTAAGCTTACTTGTGCATGATGCTCTTTGAAACTTGGTAGGTACAAAGAGTGTGCCATCGGGTTCCTGCAGATGTGAAGGGTTTTTGAGGTATGTAGGATTCTGTAGGATTGAGGGATTAAGATACTGCCAAACAACTACAAATTAAGCTTACATGTACATGAGCTTGATGCTCCTTGGAACTTGATAGGTACAAAGAATGTGCCATTGGGTTCCTGCAGATGTGGAGGTTTTTGAGGTATGTTGGATTCTGTAGGATTGAGGTATTAAGATACTGCCAAACAACTACAAATTAAGCTTACATGTACATGAGCTTGATGCTCCTTGGAACTTGGTACGTACAAAGAGTGTGCCATTGGGTTCCTGCAGATGTGGAGGGTTTCTGAGGTATGTAGGATTTTGTAGGATTGAGGGATTAAGATACTGCCAAACCACTACTAATTAAGCTTACATGTGCTTGATGCTCCTTGGAATTTGGTAGGAAAGAGTGTGCCATTGGTTTACTTCCTGCACAGGTGAGGATTTTGGAGGATTGAGGAAGATTCCTAAAATGCCTAGGAAATGAAAAGGCTATGAAATGTTTGATTTCAGGAAAATTCTTGCCATTCCTGAAAGATTTTAATGATTTGTAAATAGCACATACGTGTTAGTAGGTTTTGTGCTGGCACAAGTTAAGACATTAATGTTTTTCACATTAAAAAAAGTCCCATGCGTAAATGTGGGCTTATATTTTTGGCAGTATAAACACGTATGATTGTATGCAATAGTACTGTAGGATTTTTAAAAAATTGTGAGGAAAAATGTGTCTTTGAATGAGATAAGTATGCATTTATCTAATGATTGTTACAAGGTAATTGGAAAAACATCACAAAGTTTCCCGTGTGAATCATGTTGTTAGTTTCGAAGCTTGGTCCGCGGAGATTATTCGGTAACCTTTTGTTTTTGGTTTGATTAATTGGAATCTATTCTTTAAAAGAAAAGCCAACTTTTAGTAGATGCACCCAGCAAAATTTAAGGGAAATCAGAACGAAAAAACTCTTGCACAAAACTTTAAAAGTGAAATGAATACAAAGTTGTTCTTGACGAAAAAAGATTTATCTTCTTGTTCCATCGCCAGAACAGAAACTGTAAATGAACCTTTTTCTGGGATACACTTGTTGTTTTTTTCTTGGGGGGGGGGGCTTTTGGGTTAGGACTATTTTTTAGGGGGGGGGGGTGGCGAAGGAGAAATTGTGGTGTCTACTTTTGGTTGCTAGAAAAAAATAATGTACATTTGAAAATAAAATGTCAAAAGAAGCACTAGAATGCATCTATTTGAAGCCATTTTAAGCTGGACTGGTGTTATGCCCAAAATTTGACAACGAAATTTAATTGTTAGTACATATGTAGATTTATTCATGATTGATTGAAATTTATGCAAATGAAATATGTGCACTTGTAAATGTGTGTGTGACTTTGTACCCGTTTGTAATAGAACGTGGTGTACCAGGGAACGTTTAATTGAAAAAAAAAAACAATTTTAAACAAGTGTGTTCTTGCCATAAACGTGTAGTTATTTACATGTACAGTATTATTGTAATGAGGTCACTCAAATGTACGTGCCATAAGTTATACATTGTATGTAATTAAATGCTTACACAAATAATTTTGCCAACATTATATGCAAGTCATATACATGTATAGGTATCGGATCATTAGCGGTGTGATTATTAGGGGCTATTTTAGAAAGTAATTTGCGATGGAGGTTTATTGTGACGAAACTCTCTTTACAATAAGAGTAAAGTTTAATCTCAAGGAGAATGCTACGTTAGGCTATCGGAAAGAATGTTGCATCCTGACGCCACTTTCTTTTTCATCATAACATCTCAATGAAGGTCCCTTATTGCAAAGACGTTAGAAAATCTGGGTCTAATAAACATTTCAATCTTGTTAGAAAGTACTTCGGAAATGCACTAGACTCTCCATAAACTTTTGCCCACAACCAACAAGTGGCGTCTGGATACTGTACCATCTTTTCCAAAATATTTTTTAAGGTGGTAACGCTTTCATCTGGTAGATAAGTGTGCTCGTACCACTGATAGGCAGCATAACTGTCTTCTTTGGTGACACAGCTATCAGTGAACAAACATTGTTTGTTTTTGCCTTTCAAGTAAGGCCCAGTGTTGTAGTCGAGTACTTTTTTTCCGAGGACCGAGTACTGCCG